ATATTTTGTATAATTTGTGGGCATGCCTCCATAGCTACTAAGCAAATATCGGCTGTAAGGCCATCATAACCGGGTGCTTTTTTACTGTTGAATGATTTTAGTGTTTCTATTATTTCTATTGTGTTAAACGGTGGTTCATTTTGTGTATTAGGGTGTGAATACATTTCCGATCTTATATTTTTCTGTGTAGTATTATCAGGTGTATCAGATGGGAAAAGACCCTCTACGAAATACTTTGCAGTCTCGTCAGAGGTGTTGGTATATGTGCCATCCGTTTTTTTGATAGTTGATGGAGGGTGCGTAACAGGATTAGTTCTTATAATTCGATTTGTGACTGACCACACATTCTCTTTGTCTTGTTTATTGCAGAACTCCTTGAAACTTTTTGTAGATGCTTCTTGGATAGCATTTGCGTATTCTTGTTTTATTTTAATCTTTTCTTTTATAAGATCTTCTATAGGTAATTTTCTGCGAACAGCTTTGGAAAGTTTGTGATGGTTGCTTATAACCCTCTTTTTCAGGTTATCAAGATCTTCAGTCCACCAGTGTGGTCTTGTAGGGCGACCAGAGGAGCGTGGTAATACCTGTTTACATGTTTTATTTATGGTTTCTATAAATTCTTCTATATATTTATCTAGTTGTATTTTATCAAAATTTAAAATATTATTAATTTCATTTTCATTTATATATGTACATAATTTGTTTTTAAATTCTAATTTTCTACTGGGGTTCCAAAAATTGGCACCACCAGTATTATATTTCCAAGTAGAACATTTAATACATTTAGTTAATTGATTAGTTACGCCTATATTAATTTTAAAAGTAATAGCTGAATGATCAGATAAAGTAATAATGTCGTGGTCTATTTTCCACTCAGTGATACTAATGCGTCTATTGTTGTCAGTGATCATAGTCAGGTCTATATTAGATGACCTTATGTTATTGTTGCTTATTGTTGAGTATGTAGATTCGTTTCCTTCATTCAGCAGTATAAGATTATGGTTTATTAACATGTTAGCAATTTCAACACCACGGTGACTGCAACACTTGGAGCCCCACATGGTGTTCCAAGCGTTGAAATCCCCCGTGATTATGTGAATCGCGTTGGGATTTAGGTTCAAGAAAGTTTTTAATCTATTGAGTGTATTATTTGGATCGTTTCTAGGTTCTATGTATATTGAATGTATAAAAATAATATTGCCGAAGTGATCTTTTGCTTGTATTATAGTAATGTTGTCAGTAGTTGCTTGATTTATTAACATTGCACTAAACTTATTGTTTTTAATTCCAATGGCTGATTTGTTTTTACAAGTGGAGTTAATTTTGTTTGTATTGTAAAATAGAGTATAGCCATCAATAGGCTTAATAAATTGTGCTTTACCCGTATAAGGTTCCGTAATCAATAATATATCTATTTCATTGATTTTACTATATGCTATAAATTCATTGTGTACTTTTTGATTTCTGTTAAAGTTAAGTTGTAAACAGTTTAATTGATTAGATCGTCGTAAGTTACATTTATTTTGTGCCATAGTCGGTGTTTTCCATTGTCTTGGCTGCTATAGCCTGTCTTATAGGACATTGGGCTGATGTGGATGAGTGATTAAGAGGGTTACTTTTCCCGAATTTTTGATTATTTTTCAAACAACTATAACATTTAACAGTGGCTTTATCTTTTTTGAGTGAGCATTGCCCGAATAAATGCAGGCTTGACGCACAATGGGAGCAGTTTGTTTCTTCGCTTAAGCATTTACTTTTTGTATGTCCAAATTGTAGGCATTTGAAGCATTGTAATAAGGCAATGTGTTCCGCAACATGTACTCTAGAATGGTCGACATTTAATCGACCAGTATCTAGTACTTTTGCCCATATTTCAGGGGTCGATCTAAAGACAGCGTTATACAGATTGCTATTTTTATTATTTTTTAGAAAACATAATTTTAGATTTGGTTCAGGATTATCTGGATTCAGATGCTCTAAACAGGAGTTTTGGTTTATTAATATAGCAGTGAGATCTTTTGAATCAATGGATTTGTGTATTCCTTTCAGCATAAACATTGGTTGGAGTTTCTTTATCTTTTCCGCGGTTATTTTGTTATTTTTGGAGGTTTTAATTAAATCTATTGTTTTCTCCAGCTGGTCGGTTCTCTCAAACTCGACTCTTAGCTTATTTTCCTTAATGTTTGTTATCCTTGTCGGTAAAAATTTCTCTTTGCGGAAAGATACCTCGTCCCGCCAGATTTTCCTTGTTTCTTCTTTATTTTTTGTGTCTTTAATAGTGACTATTAATGCTGGATTTGACTTTTTTATTTTAGGTTTATCATTGATCATTTTGTTATTACTAACGGTCGTCTTGGAGACGCTTGCGTATGTAGTTTTCAAGGGTTGGTTGGTGGAAAAGCATTGTTTTAAGGAAGCTTTAATTGTCTCCTGGATAGCGGTTACGGTTGTAGCGTTTAATTGAGTTGTTTGTGGTTGGCTAGGGATTTGTAGTACTTCTTGGTTATCTTTGACATTTGCAATTAAAGACTCTGCTAATTTTTTAATTGACTCTGCGTGCTTAATTGCTTCAAGCTTATTGGCCTTTGTCACGCTTCTGGTATCGGTCAGCCTGCGTGGAATCGCAAGTGCGTGAGTGATAATTCGGTTGAGGGCGTCAATAACTGGATTGCTATCATCGTTAGGAAGCATATCATCGAAGATATCATGAAAGACATCTTCATCCAATGAGGATGATTGGGTCATTGTCGTGGTTGCGGTTGATCGGTTATCCATGTGAATAGCTGTGGTCGTCGTAGTGTTATCAGTCGAAGTTGGGTTTTTTAATGTAGAACTCTCCATAAAATTCCCACGAGTTAGGCCGATATAAATTAACTCCCTCGGGTGACGCCCATTCCGAGAGAGTGGCTATATACTGTGGAGGTCGCCTGGTATCCACAGGTTTTTAGCGGGTTTTCTCCCGGGTTTTAAAGAGTTTTCCGTCTCGCAGCCGACCGGTTAAGGTAAGCTCCCGTTCCTCCCCAACGCCTCTCCACTACAAGAGCTAGCCCACGGGGTCAGCTCCCACGGCTGCCTCAGAAGTTCGGTCTCGTAGTGGAAGGCGTCTTCCCCCCGCGTACCCCACAACGCCACACAGTGGGGATTGTTGCCGGGGAGGGAGGGTACGGGCTTCAGGGACTGGCGCATGTCCCTTCCGGTGCTGACCTTTCGGACAACACCTCTCAGGTCCCCTTTCGGTTCCCTGGTTACCACCGGGCAAATACCCCTTCGCGGCCTGCCTCCGGGCAAACACCCACGCCGAGGACTTAAATTGTGGAGCCGTTGGTAAGGGAAGGTGTAAGTCCTTCCCCGCAAGCCCACCCACCACGACAAGGCCACTCCACCAGGGGGGCTTACCTTACCTTACCTTACCTTACCTTACCTTACTTTACCTTACCTTGTGTGAAACACGAATATTTGCTGTCGATACTTTTTTTTTTTTAAAGTTGACAGAAGAAGCAATTGTTCGGATGAGGTAAATAGTGCTCTTTTAAAAAAAAGATCTTTTAAAAAAAAGATCTTTTAAAAAGGCGCGTAACCAAAAAACGTGACGCGTAACCGAAAAAAATGTGACGGTAATTTTTTTTCCAACGCCGATAAAGAAGTTTCACTTCAAAAATATTTAATTTCAAATATATATAAAAGGGAACACGATTTTTCCTATTTATATGCCACGCATAAGGTAACACGTATAAAACATGCTTGTCTGTAATCCTGCCAGTCCAGCGGGATTCCGCAAATTTTTATACCGAGATTAGTCCCGCAGGCATATATGCGGGATACCGGTATTGCTGCATTCGTAATTGATGTTTATAGGAGGACATGCAATAAAAGAAAGCTCGTAAACAAGCAGTAATTTTGATTCACTTTTAAATTATGCATTATCTAGGAATATTGATCAGTTATATGATATTTTTAAATGACCTATCGATATTCTATATTCCCATTACCTTTTCGATAAAAGCAATAATATATCCAGACCTTTTCCGCGTTATTCCAAAACGTGGATTTAAGTAAGTCTTGGTTTAAACCTAATGCTGTCTCTGTCTTATTTTTAGCAAACAAAAGGGACAGTATAATTTTTAGACCGGGTGTAACTTTAGTCTACATTTTGTAAATAAGTCATTTGTGTCGAATCTGGCATGATACTCTGAACTTAAAATCAGACTCTCCATTTCATTTTGTGTAGAGAACGACAACAATACACTGTTGTCACATTTAAGTTTAGGTTTAGAGAATCGTGCCAGAATCGGCACCATTTTATGTTTAAATCATAGACTTAGTATTTAAAGACTGACAGAGTGAGGAAAAGAGTTATCATGCCCTTACGACAATCCCACAAGGTAGAAAGAAACGCAACATGATGTACCTTTGTTCCAATAAGCCATACAGTATATTATGACATTTTGTGAAACTAAGAAAACAATTGTGCTTATACAAGTCAGTTTTTGTTATGGTATCCTGTGTTTAAAACATATCTTGACAAAACGGCACTAACACTCCAATCAAACACAGATACGCACACATATAACACGATTCAAATAAGAATAGGAAAGCCAATGACCTCCATCTGTCAAATGTCGCTTGTAAAGTACAGTTTGCAAAAAAATCTCGGAACACTTTTTCAGCACTCGGCTAATTCTAGAATAAAAATCAATCATTTTTAAACAAACAATAACAAATATTGATAATTATTATTATTGTAAAAAATCTGATGTTTTTTCTCACTTAATCTAAGTAAATAAGTTTTATTAAATAGAAAATTTTTATTGCTCACTCTACCTATTTGGTTTGAATTGACAGCTATGACGTCAAAAAATGGCGCCCAGTCGGTCCTATTCTTAGTTGAATCGCATTATACACAATATTTTTTTTGCAACACTTGCGATAGGTATTCTACCTTTTCATCCTATATGTATGGTTTAAATATAATAAATGATAGATGTACGTATGATACTCAGGTAGTAACAGCAACTCTAGTAACAGCAGCAGCTTGCGGCCCGCGCCGGCCGAACCGCCATACAACGCTCTAGGTAAGCGAACAATTCTACTTTATTACCTCAACACTGTCACAGAGTTTTTCCAACCTTAATACAATTATTTTCTAGGGGACCTCACAATATTTTTTATATTTAAAAGGCCTTTTACGAAATTGCGCCGCTGCCGTACTGCATAGGTAGATTTGCATTAGTATATATTGCATTTTACGGGTGATGTTTCGAGTCTTATAAAATAATTATTAAAGAACTAATTATAAAAATCTAAAATATCTTAATAGTAATTCTCAGTTAGAGGATTATTCTTCAAAGATAATTCCTAATAATGTTGGCGTACCACAGGGCACTATTTTGGGGCCCCCACTATTTATACTATACATTAACGATCTGCCAAAAATTACAAATTTTTTTTGCTCCCTGTATGCAGATGACATTGCAGTAGTCTTAAGTAATAAATCTGACAAAAACCTAAATGACATAATTAATTCAACTGTAACTGACATTATTAACTGGTTAAATTGTAATAACCTAAGGGTAAATATAGAAAAAACTAAAATCATTCAATTTACTAATAAAGGTGCAAAAAAAAGCAGAACTAAATGTTACTTTTGACAACAAAACAATCGCAGAAACTAGTAAAGTAACGTTTTTAGGTATAGAATTTGATAATCACTGTACTTGGAAAGCACATGTTGACAAAGTATGTAACAAAATAAATAGATTTGCGTATGCATTGTGGCGTTTGTCTAGAATAAGCAATACTCAAACCGCACTGAAAGCATATCACGGATATGTAGCCTCGATCATAAGGTATGGCATAATAGTATGGGGTAATTCTGTAAAAATTAAAAGACTGTTTATTGCACAAAAACAATGCATTAGATCTATTGCTAATGTTGATTCTTGGGTTTCTTGCAGGCCTTTGTTCAAGTCTTATAAGTTGTTGACAGTTCCGTGTATGTATATTTTTGAAATATGTATCTTTGTCAAAATGCACCCTGACCTTTATAAAACTAAAAAAGACTGCTGTACTTTTAACACTAGGTATCCAAAAAATATGTGTTTACCAGACTCTAGAACTGAAAATTGTAGTAGAAATAGCTTTACAATGTCCGTGAAAATATATAATAATTTGCCTGAGCCATTAAAGTCATTACCTATGTCCTTATTCAGACGTCGTCTATATAAATTATTAATAGAAAAATGCTATTATTCACTTGCAGAGTATTTTGAGCATAAGTAGGCTGAATGGACTTCAATATATGAAATTTTGATTTTGGACATGTATTATATATTTTGATGATTTATTTAATTTGTTTGACATTGTACGATACTGCTTTCTGGAGGATCCTAAAAGCAAATATTGGTGCATTTACTATTTTACTTTTTGATTATTATTTTATTATGAATCGACACCATTGTATGATTATTATTGATTATTGGAACATTGTGAGAAAACAAATTTTTAACATTGGACATTTATTTTTTACATTTTAATGGATAATTTTATATTTATTGACATTGTATAATATTGAGTATAAAATGATCTTGGCATGATATTGATAAGCTGACAAGCATTACACTTTAATTTTAAGTTGATTTAAAAACTGTTGCATGCTGTTTAACAGTAAAATATGTGAGACATGAAAATGATCAAACACCTTTTATACCATATTTTTATGCAATAAATTATTATTATTATAAAAAAATATATACATATTTCAGTAGTTCAATGAAGGTAGATTAGTTTTATGAAAGTTTTTGATAGTAATTCTATTTAATTCAGTATCAAAATACGAGGTAAACCTGCATTATTTTTTGGGAAAACTCACGGAGTTTAGATTTTTTTTTGATAATAAATGAGATGGAAAATCAAAATTCTTAAATATTATGTTACAACAAAAACATATTTTTGATGTCGTAATAATTGATTTGATCTAATTTATTGAACATTATTGAGAATAGTATTTGCAATTATTCTACATTAACTTACTATAAGAAGAATAAATGTACTGTTTACTTCTATTGGAAATAGTCAAAATCTTATCTAAGGGGGTAAACGAGGCGGTCAAAAATTATGATTTTTTGCAAAAAATGTGAAAGGGCTCTTAAACTTTATTGCCACAATTATAAAATGGACTAAAGGCGGACTTAACGCTAAAAGCATTCTCTGCCAGTCAACCTTCAGGAATACAGAAAGACACGAATGCGGCTTTAGTAAAAAAGTAATTAATTATTATAAACATACCATAATAGAAAGTACTTATCCTATACATAATAATTAAATATATATGAGCACAAGACATAATATAATAATCCACCCATACTAATATTATTACTGCGAATGTGTGTCTGTCTTTTCACACTTAACCCGTTGAACCGATTGAGATGAAATTTGATATATAGATAGTTCGAGTCCCGGAAAAGGATGAACGATAGTTTTTGTCGCATTTTAAGGGGTAAACTTTGGGGAGGAAGTTTGTATGGCAAACGAGTTTTCTCTTTTCACTAGTAGAGAATATTTACTAAACATTGACTGTCAGGTTGAATTTTTACATTAACATCATATTAGCTCAGATTAAAACAGAAAAGGTAAGATACGGTACGCTCCTACTAGCATCAAATAAAATATGCCCCGACTCAACTCTCACACGTCTGTATATAAACATTCATTTTTTTTTTACATTGACGACCTCCGTGGCCGAGTGGTTTGTACGCCGGGTTTCATGGTGTCGCCGACTCGAGAGGTCCCGGGTTCGAATCCCGATGGGGGCAGATGTTTGTGTGATGAATACGAGCATTTGTACTCCAGTCATGGATGTTTAATATGTATTTATATAAATATACTTATATATGTACAGTATATGTATTCTATCCGTTACCCTAGCATCCCATAACACAAGCCTTATAGTGCTTACTTTGGGGCTAGGCTAATTGGTGTGATTGTCGGAAATATTTATTTATTTATTCAATCGAGCGAGCGAGACAGAACTGTACCCCTAGCACGAACCATTATCGAATTCGAATAGTTTGCAAACCGAAATGTCGATTTCAAATTTTGTATGGAAACTTGAACAGCAGCGCCACAAAGTACGTAACGAGAACTAAAAATCAGTACACATTTGACAATGACATTTCGGACTCGCAAACGATTCGAAATCGATATTGGTTCGTGCTAGGGGTACTGTACGCTTCAACGCAGCGCGAGCGAAACTGAGCTGTATTGTTGTCCTTTTCTTGACAACAAAATGGCGATAACTTAAATAACATTCACGACAAACTGTGATTTTTGAGAAAAAAATGATTTTATAGTTTTACGAATGTAAAGTGTTGCCGAGGCATTTGTAATTTGATTTTGAACTATTCGTGTTCTTTATAACACAATATTTTATATTGAGTGCACATGCAGCATGTTTGAATGTCCAATTGTGACTAAAGCGAATTGTGGTCATGCACCACAATTTAAGCGGATCACTTTTGAGCCGCGAGTGCCGTATCTTCCCTTTTTGTTTTAATCTAAAGCCGTATACAGAAAGAAAGCTGGTAGCCTACCAGCGCTTATAGGAACCGGTTCGCGCAGGTAACCGGCGCAGGCATTTCTATGGACCAGCGCCGATAAGCGCCGAACGTCGCCGACAAGTTCCGACAATCTTCGACACGCGCTGGTCAGCGCTGGCACTCAAAAATTACGTGTTATTGCAAAAAATGTGAAAGGGCTCTTAAACTTTATTGCCACAATTATAAAATGGACTAAAGGCGGACTTATCGCTAAAGGCATTCTCTGCCAGTCAACCTTCAGGATTACAGAAATACACGAATGCGGCTTTTGTAAAAAAGTAATTAATTATTATAAACATACCATAAAAGAAAGTACTTATCTTATACATAATAATCAAATATATATGAGCACAAGACTTAGTATCTTCCCTTTTTGTTTAAATCTAAAGCCGTATACAGAAAGAAAGCTAGCCTACCAGCGCTTATAGGAACCGGTTCGCGCAGGTAACCGGCGCAGGCATTTCTATGGACCAGCGCCGATAAGCGCCGAACGTCGCCTACAAGTTCCGACAATCTTCGACACGCGCTAGTCAGCGCTGGCACCGCCCTGAAATTAATGAACAACTTCGCTTCAATCTGCTTCCTTTACATAGGTAACTGTTACCAGTAAGGACCAGCGCTTGGTCGGCTTCCAGCTATCTTTCTGTATACGGCCTAAACCTATTGGTAATAATGTCTCATAAATATGCTTCTTCAGAATGAAGAATATGTAAAGTAAATTACTCGTATTCAATTTTAATACATCTTTGCTCTCATATTATCATGTAAGCAGGCATAAATTAAATAAACAAATAGACTTTTATCTAATACTAGCTTAAAACAAAAAAAAACATAAAATATAGTTATAATATTTTTTTTTTAAAGCATGTAACTGCTTCATGTTTAAATCTAATGAAAATAGTAGTAGTAATAATCTAAATTTCTAGTTATATATATTTTCTTTAGATTTAAACAAAAAATATACTATAACAACGAATCTAAAACTAAAAACCTTAAAAAATAAAATATAATAACTAAAATAGATTATTAAAAGGAGTCCCTTTAGGCAAGGTTCCGAAGATACTGGCAGCGTTCCCCCTTTGGATAGCTAGACTAATTCTTTGTCCGAGGTAGCTGCCAGCTCTTTGGTCTCCTGTGATGTCGACTAATCTTTTTGCTATTTCTTTAAAAAACCTTATAGCGCTAGGACCCCACGGAGCAAGGGTCTCGACTCCGAATGGGACAAAATCATATTCGGTGATAATAATGAGGTAATAATGTATGTAATGAGGAGCTCGATGGCGCAAGTGGTTAGCGCGTTCGGCTACGATAGTTGAAGTTAAGCAACTTTCGCAGTGGTCGGCCATTGGATGGGTGACCAAAAATTTACTATCTCGAGCTCCTCCGTGCTTCGGAAGGCACGTTAAGCCCGGTCCCGGCTGCATCTGCAGTCGTTAGCACCCACCAATCCGCACTGGGCTTGCGTGGTGGGTTATGGCCCAATCTCCCAATTCCATCCATAGGGAAGGTCTGTGCCCCAGCAGTGGGGACATTAATAGACTGATTATGATGATGTAATGTGTTATCATCACCCCACTTTCGAGACATTTTCTTGTCGAAAGTTTCAGCAAATCAATAACACGTGGTGACATTAAGTGGCGGCGCCAGCGACTGGCGTGAAGGTATTTAAAAAGATCCAGTGACGCTGGCAAGGGGCGCGGGGGATGCGGGGTGTGGGCACTGGCATGAAAAGTAGGCCTTCGTTCTACTCCATGCCAGCGATGGCACCAGCGCGGGACTGGCGCCAAAAAAAGTTTACATTTATCCAGTGCTGGCATGCCAGCGGGACTAGCGCCAGCTACTGTATCAATGTAAATCTGGCATTAATTAACAACTCCGCTTCAATCTGCTTCCTTTACATAGGTAACTGTTACCAGTAAGGATCAATGCTTGTCAGCGCTGGTCGGCTTCCAACATTCTTTCTGTATATCTCTTGCCGGTTCTTCTCAGTACAAGGTCTCCCGCCGTAGATTTACGAACCGATGGCGTAGCGTTTGACTTTCACAAGAGCTTGTAACAGCCTAGACTGAATAAATGAGTTTGAATTTAGAATTTTTTGAATTTATATGGCCTAAACCTATTGGTAATAATGTATGTTAATAAATGTGTACATGCGCAGGGCTGACAGTAGGCGACATAGACTCGGAGTGGACGGGCTCTGATCAGTCTTTATTCCGCGCGCTGCACAAGGTGTTCACCTCAAACTATTGCGCCATTGCGCAGGTCATGCTGTCCAAGACTTGCCAGCAGGTATTTTTTTTTTGAGTTTGCATGTTGGTCGCAGATGACCTTTACAGGGTCACCGGATTTGGGGACGGCGAGATCCTAAGGGGACCTCAAGCCGAGAATTGGTGCCTCCAGAGGTATTCCAGGCGGATGGCATCTCCCCACGGGGGGAGTCTCCTCTCCGTCTGGAGCCTCAAGACCACGAGCACCTGATGGGGTCGGCTCAACTAGAGGGCGTCTCTGAGACTCGGGTCTCCGCTCTAGTTAGCCGTTGTCATGGAGGGGCCAGCAGGTAGGAGCTGCCTGCCGCTATATATATATATATATATATATATATACACAATATATATATATATACACAATATATATATATATACACAATATATATATATACACAATATATATATATATATATTGTTACGTGTCGGGATTGGTTTCCAAATTATATGCCAGTTCAAACTTAACAGTTCTTTCTTAAACACAAAATACTACACTCACTGTACATTGTACAAGACTTTAAACAATCGCACTTGAACACTTTATTTGCTCTTTGATCGCCTTTATATTCGTTCCGAAATCGCTGTAGAAACTCAACTGTTCACTTCGCGGCGCCGAACGCGCTTATATCAACGATATTAAATACCCTAGATACAATAACACGAACAAAATCGTGCCCGAAACCTGTCCAAAAGGTACATTGAACGATCCACGGAGCTCCGTAAGATGATCGCGAAGTCAAAATCAATATATGGCATTATTCAACATTGAAAGTCACCTTTAATGCATACTATATAAGGTCTTAATTAAAACACATGCGTCAGAGTTATGACAGTTGGTAATGCAAGCTCGTGAAATTTTACGACTTATTGCTATATGAGGAAGTATATAGACCTTATTTCTTTGACTCTACGCGTAAATCTGAATGCACTGTTAGCAATATAGCAGGTACGAACCGCGAGAAAAAGATACGGCTATATTACCGACCATGCATTTGAATATCACATATTACTATTAAATCAGTTCATAGTAAGTATTAAAACTTTACTTCAAATGCGTTAAATTAATATTTATTGATTAGATACCTGGCAAAAAAAAACGACATTTTTCACGGAGCTCAGCGGCATATTGACTTTTCAACGGTCCGCGCGTGACTGTAAAACAAAGAAGTGCTTGAGTCGTGTTCAAGCACTTCTTGATTGGGACACATTCACGTGCTGTATCTAGGGTATTTAATGTCGTTGGTTAAATAAAAAAAACGAGCGGACCTTACAGTAGTCGCGTTTGATGTGTAACATTTGAAACCTCACCTTGTATTAGTAAAAAAAAGAAATAAAACCTACTATAAAAGGAATAAGCCATTTGAATATTATGTTCTGAAATCAAATCAAATAGCGCGCGCTATCTCGACTTCCTGTTACACACTTCCGTCCCATTTCACGAAATCCCTCCCACAAATTGCAGGAAAGCGAGAGGAAAGATGTTACACATCAAAAAATGATAAAATAGGAAATTGCATGAGAAGTATTGATTATTAATAACTACCGCAAACGCAATTAAAATAATAACTATAAAAAGTAGAGTAGTCTAGTGTAGTAGTGACTTTCCGGTAGTTTGCGTTATATTGGTTAATAAATGGTTAGTTGCGTGTTACGTAATTTGCGTTATGTAATACTAGAACGCTCCCTTTAACTCGAAGGTAATTGAATAGGGCATAGTACTGTGTAGATATTTGTGAGGAAAGATGTTACACATCGATAAATGATAAACCGAATGACGCAGGTGTATACGTACTGGATCAATACTGGGCAGGAAGAATGCCGCGTGGAAGCGGAACTGACTCCGCCGCGGAAGAAGAAGAAGAAGCACCGGCTGTGGTCCGTGCACTGCCGGAAGATACAACTCAAGAAGGACTCCGCCGCGCATCATGTGTGAGTAGTAATAATAATAATAATAAACTTTCAGAAAAAATTCCACGCGGACCAAGCAGCAGACGGGACTCTGCTCATTCTTCATTCATTTGACATTGTGGGTTACCTATAATGCGAAGACATGGCGCTGCCTTGCAGCTTAAGAATGGCTAGAAGAATTTCGACGTGGTCCGTGAGGGCCGCGGTAGCATAATTGGTCAGTGCATTCGCTCGGATTGCGAAGGGTGCGGGTTCGAGTCCCGTCTGCTGCTTGGTCCGCGTGGAATTTTTTCTGGTTGTGTTTTCTTTAGATTTAAACATCAAGCAGTTACATGCTTTAAAATAATAGAAATTATAATAATAAACTTTATTTCTCTCCACAATCTTATACATGCTTCATGAGTAACAGATTAAAAAACTTAGGTCTAAGATTGTGAGAGACTGGTGACCAAACTAAGCTGTCGCCTGTGCACCAGCCTCTCCCCGCTTAAGAAGGTGTTCAAGCAAAAAATAGGAGAACAACGCTAAAATCTAAAATCACATTTATATTATTATGCATGATATGGAATATGGTAGTGCTAGTTGTGAGTATGGTGTTTATGTGCGTGTGTGAAGTTTGTGTGTGTGTGTGTGTGTGCGTGTTTATGTGCATGTGTGAGGTGTGTGTGTGTGCGTATGTAAGTGTGTTAGTGTGCGTGTGTGGAGGGGGCGTGTGGGTGGTGTAGTTATTTGTTAATTGATGGGTATGAGTCATTTTCATAACAGTAGTATGGTAGAGGAGCTCCAAGTGGGAAGCGCGTTCGGTTGCGATTGTTGAAGTTAAGCAACTTTCGCAGTGGTCGATATTTGGATGGGTGACCAAAATTTACTGTAACGAGCTCCTCCGTATGTCGGAAGGCACGTTAAGCTGTTGGTTCCGGCTGCGTCTGCAGTCGTTACCAGTCACCAATCCGCACTGGGCCCGCGTGGTGGGTCATGGCCCAATCTCCCTATTCCAACCATAGGGAAGGCCTGTGCCCCAGCAGTGCGGACATTAATAGGCTGATTTTGATGATGATGAATATTGTACCTATCTAATGCCGCTTCCTGTATACTAAATATAAAGTTAACTATAAAGTTTATTGTAACTATATTCTAAATGATGTAACGGAAGGTGACTTCATAAGTATCTTTGAAATCGTTTTTCCACTTAACGACTGTATATAACAATACAGGGAGAAATAGACAGCCCTTGCTGAGTTTCTTGCCGGTTCTTCTCAGTACAAGGTCTCCCGTCAGTAGTCGGACAGCTAATGCCTATATATCGCTTTATCATAATATCCCGGTTCGGTGGTACCTGCTAGAGGGGCTGATGTTAAGTGGTGATAAAGTCCAAACGCGAAGATAAGCTGGTACAGCAGTTAGAAACTGCTACACCAACCATCCTCAATTTGCGTTCGGTTGCTGGGCTGCGTTCCTAGTTTACGTGCCGGTCTTAAAAATCGGCTCCTTCGTCAAAGCTAGTTTATATAAGTAAATGTATTTTTATCTATGAATATTATGTTCTTTTTTTTTTGTTTGTTCTTATTTTATTTTTATTTTTATTATTATGTATTCTTGTGTCAAAATATTTGAATCGTTACTATAGCGCCTAATACGTCCTCAAACAGGCCCTGCCAGAATACCAGCGCTGATACAGTGAGAGAATATTTTCTCATTGTTTCAGCATAAGCTGAGGCAGGGTCCTGATTGGCCATTTTAAACCTAATGTTTAATTTTTGTTCTTAGGTTAAGTTTCTTTTTTATATTTTTTTTCCTCTGTTTCATAAACCGTGGTCAATAAAGATTTTTCATTTCATTTCATTTCAATTTACCGGCCTGCAAAAATGCTTCCTCACGCCTCTCTTAAAGGACCCCAAATTATAGGAAGGTTTAAGAATTTTGGTAGTGTTATACCCAAGTTTTATTTGGAATTCGTTTTGTGATATTAGGTATTTTTTCCGCAGATACAACTACACGCCGTGCGACCATCCCAACCAGCCGTGCGACAGCATGTGCCCATGCCTGCAGTCGCAGAACTTCTGCGAGAAGTTCTGCCAGTGTAGCAGCGATTGTGAGTTACTTCATTTTAATAATAATCTAATATATAAAACTAGCAAACCAGTGAACCAAAAGTTCACCAAAAAAAAAATGTATTTAATTAATTGAGAACTTCGGAGATTTTGTGTGGTTTCGTTTGAAATAGAAATCACGTGATTTCTCGAAAACCGGAAGTGCTACGTTACTCACACCCGGTTTGTAGTCTTATCAGACTATTCTTAACTTATAACTTAAACATTCTCTATATCTATCTCTTACGGTTTGCCCGCTGAAACAGCACCACGGACGGACGGACGGACTTGTCTAATAGATAAGAGATTCTCGTGTCGCGCGTGTTTGTGGTTAAACTCCTCCGAAACGGCTTTCCCGATTCTCATGAAATGTTGTGTGCATATTGGGTAGGTCTGAGAATCGGACAACATCTATTTTTCATCCCCCTAAATGTTAAGGGTAGTCCACCCCTAAATTTTTTTTTTTTTCAATTTTAGATAGTTTTTTTTTGATTTTTTTATGATACATCATACAAAAATAAATATAACCCAAAATTTTCACCCTTCTAGCACCAACCCCTATTTTTTTATGGCGGTACGAAGTTTGCTGGGACAGCTAGTAATAATATATAAAACTCAAAGGTGACTGACTGACATAGTGATCTATCAACGCAGAGCCCAAACCACTGGACGGATCGGGCTGAAATTTGGCATGCAGGTAGATGTTATGACGTAGCCATCCGCTAAGAAAGGATTTTGATCAATTCTACCCCGAAGCGAAGCGAGGGCGGGCCACTAGTATTCTTATAATTTTTATTATTTTAAAGCATGTAATTGCTTGATGTTTAAATCTAAAGAAAATATAACTAGAAAAAAAAAACATTTGACATTGTGGGTTACCTATAATGCAAAGAGATGGCGCTGCCTTGCAGCTTAAGAATGGCTAGAAGAATTTCGACGCGGTCCGTGAGCGCCGCGGTAGCATAATTGGTCAGTACATTCGCCCGGATTGCGAAGGGTGCGGGTTCGAGTCCCGTCTGCTGCCTGGTCCGCGTGGAATTTTTTCTAATAATATTCTTTATTGCACACAACAAAGGACACAAGACATAGATTTTTGACTTTTTGGCGGGATCGGGAAACGTCACTTTAGCAGTTTTATTTTTGTTGTTAAAAATTGTGTTGTGGCGGATGTTAGTGTCTAATAATGGTGGATTATTAACCACTAACAAGTGTTCGGGAACATGCACAAGTGTTGGCAAGTGAAGCAAAATAGCGGAAAGTGTCTTTCGACGTTCCCTCAAGAAGTCCACGGGGAGGTTCCAGTAAATCCCCACACATTTACTGAAACATAGGGAAAGGGGGATTGACTTGACTGCCACTTACTTTGGCTTGATTTATTACTTTGACCACGAGTGCTATAGAAATTGTAAACATTTTACATTTGACATTGGCTAAATGCACAAGCCGTGCGAAGCCATTTAGATAAAAAAGACAAACTTATAAAATGAAGAAGACTATACAAGCCCGCCTAGGCCTAATTGCTAAACAGCAGTCTCTTCCAGCCAACCAATGATAGAAAAGCAATAATAATAGAAAAATAAAAAGAAAGTAGGTATAGGAGATATACTTACATAAATATAAGAGAAGCAAAGAAATAGGTTGTAAAATGAATTTAAGATAAAGAAAGCAAAGAGCTTTTAACTTGATCGCTAAAGGAATTAAGTGAACAAGCTTTTCTGATATCCTCACGAAGTGTATTCCACAGTCGAGCAGCGGACACAGAAAAGGAGTAGAAAAGAAGTCGGAAGAGTGACAGGGAATCTCAAGAAGAAGTTAGAAGAGGATCTCAGCGAGAGCTGTGAAGAAGAGGATAGAAATGAGAAAGACTGCTTTAGTTAACGTGAAGGGAAGGGAAGATGGCAGGGAAAGTATAGAATGGAGAACCGTAAGAGTGTGTAGTTCCCTGCGCCGGCGAATAGGGAGCCAATGGACAAGAATTCTGCAAAATTTGGCCACTAGGGGCGCTGTAATTGCTTGACTCAAAACTTCGATCAAATACATACCTATTAGCTTAAATTCATTTTTAAGCTTTTTATTAAACAACATAAAAATGCCGAGTTGTGCAGTTCCTGGTTGTTGTGAGAAAACTGCATGCTTACCGTCTAACATTTAATTTTATATGTTGCTTTGAAAGGGGGGGGGGGGGGGGTAAAACTGAGCTGCTGTTTACATCATTGTATGTATCTGGGGCAGGTAATTACTACATCTGGATGTCTTCATTTTGATCAGAAAAAACTGCACCAAAATTAAAATTGCGGTCATATGACCTGAGGCATATGCCTCAAGTCTGTAAAAAAACCTAATGTTATACCTCCCATTTTAGCCAGAGGTAACCTAACTCTATGAGATGTCTGACTGATGCAAAAATAAGATAGATTTGACTAATGAGCCTGCTGAGCTGCTGAGCGGTTACTCAGATCCATGAACTATTAAAATAATCATGGAACGTGCATCTATGTACCGAGAATGAGCATTCTAGCATAATAATAGAAAGAGTACCTATCTACTAGATCAGCTTTTCTGCCTTGCACACATGCTCCTCTCCTTTTCAACTCTGTTTTCAGCTGTATTACAGCCCATGTTGAATACATTTTCACCACTTATTAATATTTTTAACAACAAAAAAACACGTTTAAAATTTGACAGCGACAATATTTGGCTGTAGTTTGGGTCAAGCGTTTGCAGCGCCATCTATGTCGAGCTTTGCGCATACTTCTCCATTTAGTTTATAATGGAAATGAGACATGCGGTCGAATTTTCAGAGATTATAAACGAACCCGATACAAACATTCTGCAGTCTAATTAATTGATCAGTTCCTCCGACAGATCGGTGTAGCACATTTTTATAGTTATAACTTTGCTTTCGTAGGCTGCGCAGGTGAGGGACTCTTTCCGCTATAATAGATCGCTTGTAACTGCAACGAGTAACATTGCCTCTTGCTGGAGAGAAAGAAAGAAAGAAAATATTTATTTGAGACAAAATGTGTAAGTAAGGTGTTGTGATTTTAGTGGTGCATAACATGTCGTGCCTATATGGGCATACAAATTCAGCAGGTTGTTTTAATATCATGTCAAAAATCTTAATATTCTATAGTAAAACATGTCAAATTCAAATAATTTCAATTCAATATAAAAATGTTAAAATTAATCAAAAAAATAGAAATAATAATAATCAAAACATAATTACAATTCAAAATTTGTCAAATTACGTCAATAATAAAACATGTTAAATTCAAATGATTTCAATTCAATAATAAAATGTCAAAATTAATCAAAAAAATAGAAATAATAATAATAAAACATAATTAAAATTCAAAATTTGTCATTTAAAAATTCCGATACATCATAATAACACTGGACGCTGCAGTAACGCACTGTTTATTGGTACTCAGGCCAGAACCGTTTCCCGGGGTGCCGGTGCAAGGCGTCGTGCAACACGAAGCAGTGCCCCTGCTACCTCGGCGTGCGCGAGTGCGACCCCGACCTGTGCACCGCGTGCGGCGCCGACGCGGCCGAGGCCAGGCATGTGCCCGCCTACTGTCGCAACGTGTCCGTGCAGCGGTGAGTATTGTACCGCGACCCCGACCCCGACCTGTGCACCGCGTGCGGCGCCGACGCGGCCGAGGCCAGGCATGTGCCCGCCTACTGTCGCAACGTGTCCGTGCAGCGGTGAGTATTGTACCGCGACCCCGACCCCGACCTGTGCACCGCGTGCGGCGCCGACGCGGCCGAGGCCAGGCATGTGCCCGCCTACTGTCGCAACGTGTCCGTGCAGCGGTGAGTATTGTACCGCGACCCCCGACCCCGACCTGTGCACCGCGTGCGGCGCCGACGCGGCCGAGGCCAGGCATGTGCCCGCCTACTGTCGCAACGTGTCCGTGCAGCGGTGAGTATTGTACCGCGACCCCGACCCCGACCTGTGCACCGCGTGCGGCGCCGACGCGGCCGAGGCCAGGCATGTGCCGCCTACTGTCGCAACGATGTCCGTGCAGCGGTGAGTATTGTACCGCGACCCCGACCCCGACCTGTGCACCGCGTGCGGCGCCGACGCGGGCCGAGGCCAGGCATGTGCCCGCCTACTGTCGCAACGTGTCCGTGCAGCGGTGAGTATTGTACCGCGACCCCGACCCGACCTGTGCACCGACGTGCGGCGCCGACGCGGCCGAGGCCAGGCATGTGCCCGCCTACTGTCGCAACGTGTCCGTGCAGCGGTTGAGTATTGTACCGCGGACCCCCGACCCCGACCTGTGCACCGCGTGCGGCGCCGACGCGGCCGAGGCCAGGCATGTGCCCGCCTACTGTCGCAACGTGTCCGGTGCAGCGGTGGAGTATTGTACCGGCGGACCCCGACCCCGACCTGTGCACCGCGTGCGGCGCCCGACGCGGCCGAGGCCAGGCATGTGCCCGCCTACTGTCGCAACGTGTCCGTGCAGCGGTGAGTATTGTACCGCGACCCCGACCCCGACCTGTGCACCGCGTGCGGCGCCGACGCGGCCGAGGCCAGGCATGTGCCCGCCTACTGTCGCAACGTGTCCGTGCAGCGGTGAGTATTGTACCGCGACCCCGACCCCGACCTGTGCACCGCGTGCGGCGCCGACGCGGCCGAGGCCAGGCATGTGCCCGCCTACTGTCGCAACGTGTCCGTGCAGCGGTGAGTATTGTACCGCGACCCCGACCCCGACCACTTAAAGGTAGTGGTAGGGAAAAAAATGCACGATTCGGAAGAGTTGAACATCCAATTTGAATAAATAATAAATAAATAAATATTTCCGACACTCACACCAATTAGCCTAGCCCCAAAGTAAGCACTGTAAGGCTTGTGTTATGGGATGCTAGGGTAACGGATAGAATACATATACTGTACATATATAAGTATATTTATATAAATACATATTTAACATCCATGACTGGAGTACAAATGCTGTCACAAATCACACTAACATCTGCCCCCACCGGGATTCGAACCCGGGACTTCTCGAGTCGGCGACAGCCATGAAACCCGACATACAAACCACTCGGCCACGGAGGTCGTATTTTAACTTTAACTTTGTTGAAAACAGCAATAAAAAGCTATATTAAGCTCTAACTGTTAGCTATTAAGTTTTCGCACTTTCGAAGACCTGTTTCCCAGCAGTAGGAATATTGGTGTCGATTCTAGCATGATTCTCTAAACCTAAACTTAAATTTGACAGCAGTATATCCTTGTCATTCTCTATAAAGAATGAAAAGTAGAGGCTGAAGTTAAATTTAGTTTTAAGTTTAGAGAATCACGCCGGAATTGGCACCATTATAAACTAATGACAATGATAAAAGTGAACGCGAGCACTGATAATTTCTACGTCGAAAGTAAATACGTACAAGAAAGAATAATTCCATCATCGAAATCAGTTACAAAACTACTGTAACTAATATAAAAAAAAGTTTTTTTTTCGCATATATTTTTTAAGTATTTTGCAGTTATTGTAATTGTTATTTTCCTTTATCTTACCGCTTACAATACACTCGAGAACGCATTGTCGAGTTATGTAAAAAAAGTATTGAAAAAACGCACTTTAAACTCATTGAAAAGTAGTTTTATCTAATATATAAAATTCTCGTGTTGCGGTGTTTGTGGTTAAACTCCTAAACCTAAACGGCTCGACCGATTTTCGTGAAATTTTATATGCATATTCAATAGGTCTGAGAATCGGCTGTAATCTATTTTTCATCCCCCTAAATGTTAAGGGTAATCCACCCCTATTTTTTTTAATTTTTTTATGATACCGCATTAGTAAATACATATTGTTGCGGCCCTCTAAATATTGTCAGACCTTTTTACTACCATGCTATGTATATTTTCTTAATTCATTCTTTTTAGCTGCCATATAATAATGTCATCTGCTGTCTAATTGTCATGTATGAATTACCTATAGTAAATTGATATTATAAAATTAATGGGTTTTAATTGAAGTATTAAAGCCACGTTATGTAAGCCAATACATAAATTGGTGGCCCATGAGGGGAACGAACCCGCGACCTTCGCGTTATCAGCACGAATACCACAATTTATGTATTGGCTTACATAACGTGGCTTTAATACTTCAATTAAAACCCATTAATTTTATAATATCAATTTACTATAGGTAATTCATACATGACAATTAGACCGCAGATGACATATTATATGGCAGCTAAAAAGAATGAATTAAGAAAATATACATAGCATGGTAGTAAAAAGGTCTGACAATATTTACAGGGCCGCAACACATAACCCTGAATTTTCAACCCTTTAAAATCAACCCCTATTTTTTTATGGCGGTACGAAGTTCGCTGAGTCAGCTAGTTTAACAATAAAGATCTAAAATAATGGACACAGGGGTCTCCACAAGCATTTACTGCTCGCGCCGAGCGACGTGGCGGGCTGGGGCATATTCCTGAAGGAGGCGGCGCACAAGAACGAGTTCATCTCCGAGTACTGCGGCGAGATCATCTCGCAGGACGAGGCCGACCGTCGCGGGAAGGTCTACGACAAGTACATGTGTTCCTTCCTCTTCAACCTCAACAACGGTATGTTTCGCTGCTTGCATATTGTCTAGTGTCAACTTATCTATAGGGAATCTAAAAGAATATATAAGAGACAAATAAATGTACGTGGAATAGAGTATTTGACAAGTTTTAGAAAACGATCTCACGTTATTGACTAATGTTTATGGAGTCCGTAAAAAGTGGATATTCATCATTCTGTTGTGTATTTCAGTAAAAATAACCAAATCAAATACTTCATTTTCAAGTTGCCGCGAAAACGTTTCTCTTGACAATATGGCGTCTTACTAGTGTGTGACGTCACACGATTGTTATTAAAACGTTTGACGTTTTTTACGATACAATGTAATGTCACTTGAACCCGAAGTTTACTTGCGTGTGACGTCATTTTAGGCTCCGCCAATCCTAAACGTTTTGGGTCACGTGACAATAGATAAGAAAACTATTATCTTTTTCGTGAGTTTTTAGTAAAATTATGAGTATTTTTTTTTTGTAAAAATAGTAAAAACCCCTGCCAATATTCATCCTAAACACAGATGCTAACAATTGGCACTTTATTTTTAATACTGTCAAATACCCTATTGCTACGTTCTACTAGTTACGTTCCCCAGGGTCATTCCTTCAGGATAAGTACCTACTCAAATACATTGTTTACTATTATCATTTTAAAATTGTATTTTTGTTTGATTTTTATATCGATGACGTCAATAAGTGTATGTAAAGGCTTATGTTGGATAAATAAATTCTGGTTATATTTATAATTTTTAAGCATTTTACTGCTAGATGTTTGAATCTAAATCTAAAGAAAATTTTACAAGTAAAATTAATTTCCATGCGGACCAGGGGGCCATTCGCCTAACGGAAATGCTGTGGAAAACGCTAATGCTTTCGATTTTATTTTGTTATTTCTGACCGCCGAAGGTTTTCAAATGCCTCACGCTCATTTTTTTTAATATTGTTATTACCAATGCAAAAGCAAATTTGTGTGTGTCAACTCCAACACTCGACTGGAGTTTACTCCTTAAGTTCGATACTCTAACCAGACGCAAAAAGTTTATTTAACTTAAAAAAGATTGATACCATATGAAAGGGTAAATTAACAAATTAATGAAAATAATATACATATATAAATATATATTTATTCATTTCATATACATTTATTATAACTAATCGACGAAATATTTTACATTTAACTTTTTACAATAGTCAATTTCAGATGTGTATAAATATATCATTAGGAATGTTGATAAATTATGTAATTATTATTATCAGACCATTATCATTTTTTTAAATATTAATTAAATCAACATTGTCTGCATTATTAATTACAGTGACAAGTGGTTTATGGTAACTAAAATAAGACACATGGTCGTTCGTAGATACGTGGTTCACGAATCTTGAAAATACCGCATCAATGGTTGTACCCTACCTCGTTGTCCCCATTGCTCTATCAGAAACAATATCTAAATTCAGTTCAGATTTTAAAAATTTTATTAATGCTAATTCGTCATCTTTGTTTGTCAAAGTTGCGCGACATAGGATACGCACCAAAAACGTAACGTGGTCATTCATCGATAGATTTTACTCCTCACATTTTTCTCATACCGGGCCCCTTATATATGCAAATCGATTCATAAGGAGTAAACTCCAAAAAAAGAGCGCGAGGCATTTGAAAACCTCAGTCGGCTAGAAATAACAAAATGAAATCGTAAGCGTTAGCGTTTTCCAAAGCATTTCCGTTAGGCGAATGACCCCTGACAGCAGACGAGACTAGAACACGTACCCTTCGCTATCCGGGCGAATGCACTGACCATTATCCTACCGCGGCCCTGATGGCCGAGTTGTAGAAATTGAGCCCGGCCACGTTTTTTATTTGGTCTAACCAACGGACAGGTGAACGGCCTCCCCGTATGTTACTTATTTTCTTACCCACAAAAACCAATCTGTCTAAGTAGCTGGGGCGATATGGCCAAAGTAACCCATACTCTATTCATCTTCCTTTGAGCTAAAAGCTAAAAACAAACAATGAAAAAAAATTTAATGAGTTGAATTCTATACACATAAAAAAACATAATTAAAAAGACCTAAAACTGTACCTATGCCCAAACTTTGCACGCATTACTATACTAATAAATTGAAGAGTAGTGATAAAGCAAATTAATTTACGTTGAAATGTGAAATTTTATAATCAGTCTGGTTACACCGGCCATCTTTACTCTCGATAAAAAAGTTTTGGAAACTTTAGTTTAGGGAAGGTTCAAGTATTACGTAACGCAATTTAGGGGGGAGGGGGTCTTGTTAAACGTTACGATGCGTTATGTAACATTGTTTTTTATTTAAATAAAAAAAAAACTAGGGTATTACAGTGAAACCTGGTTAAGTGGGACCTGGATAAGTGAGAAACCTCTATTATTGAGAGTTGCAATGAGGTCCCGGTTCTTTTTCATTAAATTACCTCTGTTAATGGGACTTTTTGAACCTGGTTAAATGAGATTTGAATTCTAAGACTCTTTCGATGTTTACCTCTATAATTGAGACTCTGAAGCTCAATTACCTGTATAAGTGAGACTAATTAATCAGGTTGTGACACGTTTTGACATGTTTGTTTACATACATTTCGCGTTGTCCTTCGCGCATGTTTTGTTTGTCAGTACTCTAAAAATGGAATAACGGCATATTTCGACCTCTGTAAGCGGGGGCCTCTGTAATTGAGACAACTATAAATTTAAACCTGTTTAATTGGAAAACTGGATTATTGGATACCCTCAATAATTGGTACATATATCTTGGTCCCTTGAGATCCCAATTAACCAGGTTTCACTCTATAATCTCCCAAGTTGGCAACCCTTTTCGGTTTGCCAAAGTTGAAAAATTGCATTGCCAAAGTTTAAAGTAAACGTATGTTTTTTATTTAAAGCGATTTAAAAAAAAACGAACGTGCCTTACAGTAGTCGCGTTTGATGTGTAACCTCACCTTATATTAGTAAAAAAAAAACCTACTACTAAAGCAATAAGCCATTTGAACATTATGTTCTAAAACAAATCAAATAGCGCGCTTTCACGACTTCCTGTTACACACTTCCGTCCCATTTCACGAAATCGCTCCCACAAATTGCAGGAAAGCGAGAGGAAAGATGTTACACATCAAAAAATGATAAAACAGGAAATTGCATGAGAAGTATTGATTATCAATAACTACTATGGAGTTCTACCCAGAATGGATAGAACCTGGGGACGTAACTCTTCAGTAAAACAACTAGACGATGGTTATTATTTTATATTATCATTCAGGCGAATATAAAGAATTTTATCTAAATACGAGAGGTTTTCTTGGTGCCTGAAGATCTACTCTTGAATGGAACCTTCTATCAAAAGACAGACGATTCCTTATTTCAAATCTTAAAATCGAATTAACTTTTTAATATAAATGCCAACCGTAGGCATTGCAAAAGCAAAGAGTTTACCTAAACAAGGAGGTTGTAACGTACCGGACGTTACATCCCTTCGGCACCGCTAAAAAAATTGTTTTGTCATACTAGATGACCAAACAAAAATTTTTTTTCCTACCTACTACATCGAGAGGGTTCGACAGTCCTATCTAAAATCCCTACCTGCTTAAGGACATAAATACAACTGGGAGGTGGTCTTTACTACAGACTAGCCCTCACAATAAGTTTGCAAAACTTGCAAAAAAAAAACTTTACGGGAAAAGAACCCTAACTGTTTGCAAAGTTTTATTGCAAAGACTTTACGGGAGCAAAACCTTAACAAAATCCCTCGTACATCTCCCCCTAACCTTAACTTTACTTTACTTTACATCGACATCAGTCGGCAAAAACAAAAAAACAAAGCTAACCCTAGCTATTTAAATTACCCAAGCAATTTTTTTTTTATCCCATCTATCAGCAAAACTTTACCCTATCCCATTTATTAAACCATTAAATATCAAGAAAATTTATATTTTGAAACTTCATTACTTCCCATACTAAGTAGATGTACGAAACGAAATTCAAACTATTTCCTAAGATTCGTAAACATTAACTGGATTTGAGCAAAACCTAAAAGAATTTATAATTAATGTTTACTTTCGTACATCTTTAATAAAGATACAGACGTGGTCCACCACTTTATTGTCTTGTACTTTATTAGACACCCATGATGCGCAAACGTAATAGAAATTTTGGGTAAGGACATCTAGCATCAAACAAGATTAAACCCAATTCCCATGGAATACTAAGGGTTCCCTACCCCCAAGTCAAACTACTACAAGTGACGATTTTGACGAACGCGACGCGACCAAATTGAAACGAAAACGACGCGAATTCGTAGAGGGTGTCTCCATCATCTTCAGGGTGGATCATCGTCAGTATCGCTGACGTCTGCATGAGCGCCAGCCTGCTCTCTCTCGGGAAGTCCGCATCATGTGGTAGTACATAAAACAATCAAGAAAATATTAGTAAAATTCTTTACACCATTTTTCTTCAGTCGGGTAAGTTAATATTCAAGAAAACATTTATGATAAATCTTTATACCTCTTTTCATAGTTGGATAAATTTTCAAATATAACATTATTATTCATTTATTTATTTTTTAACCTTACAGGGAATCGAACCCGTTTCCTTTTTTATAATAAGGGAATTTTCTTTATGGACCTATATTATCCTATTATACATTATTAACTATATATATTCTATCCTAATGCTGAATTAATCCTATCAATGATCATATTCAAAGTCAATTGAATAATTCCAAGTTGAACAGAGAATCGAACCTGTTACCTATCATTCTTATGGTATTATACATATAATCCACCTACTCAACAAATTACACTAAAGCTAACAATTAAAAGAAATGAAAATACTTTAATGAAACTACTATTATCTGTCATAAACAAAATGTGTAAAAGTTCCTTATAATATGTATATTGAAAAAAATTTAATAAAATGACAAAGTTATATTTAATATGCTTTTGAAATAAAATTCTAAAATGACTATTGTATTGAACCTTATTTACATACCACCATTGCTTTAAAATATTCATATAAACAATAAACTGAAATAAAATCTCATTAGTAACACAATATTATATTGTACTATCAACCTATTCGGCATAATATAAATTTTCATCATACACCGAATTATCACTATTCCTTTCATTATTTTTTGTGTATATTGTCTTTTAAACTTGCACTTAATATGTTTGATTATTAATTGTTCATTATAAAAGTCTACTATCGCATTATTTCGAAGTAAGAAATCCTGTCCTAAGATGAGGTTATGCCTAATATTCTACCACAAGAAAATCGTGAATGAATAACACATTGTCTATCAATAATTTAAGGTTACTTTCCCTATAACAGACAATTCTTTACCATCGACAGCTTTCAACTTCATATCGCTTTCATCAATTCGTTGATGAATTCTATTAACTGTGTCCTTCGACACCACAGACACTGCAGCACCACTATCAATGAGCCCTACAAACTCCTTATCACGACACGTTATATTAATTAATGGTTTGGACTCACTTGTATGCTGATTGTTGTTTTGACGGCTGTGAATGGTGAACTCTTCATCAGCCATCGTCATTACATTTTCTTCATAAAAAATTTCTTTGGATGCTTCTTTTTTTTTTTCTTTTTTTGTTCGTTACTGGAACAAAAAGTGCGGGGAATCATGTTCGGGAGGGACAATGGGATGAGAAGGACACTTTGGGAGGAAATGAAGTTGATTTCCTTCTCCGTTCTTCTTCATTCCTTATTATGCGAAATTTTCGCGTTTCATGAGCAAACGATGGTTGGATCGGCAGATTCCAACAATTTCGACGCTTTCGTCTCAAAAATGTCCTGCGCTTGTCGTAAAATTTTAAATGTTTTTATCACTATAATGAAATGCGAAAAGATTTTTTGTATTTAAATTCGCATTTTTCAAGAACTGTCTAATGAAGCATTTGTCATCGATGACAGCTCCCGCTTTTGTGGCCAGCTCATCCAATATAAAAAAAGGTCAATGGCTCTTCTGACAAGCCTTGTCTTCGTGAGAAAAATTTTTCCAACGCATTTATCGATGATGGAAATTCCTCACAAATTTTCTTTTCTAGAATCTGAAAATTCTCACAAGACTCATTAATTTTTTATAAAATAACAATGCAGGTCCACTTAAATATGCCGACAACACAACTCTTTTTGTATCCTCGTTGAAATTATTGATGGCGGCGATGATATTAAACTGACGAAAGAAATCGGTTACATCACCTTTTCCGTCGAATGTGGTCCTGGTCTCCATCTTCATAAAACTACTTCTTTCTTGATTTAAAATATTTTCATCGCGGTACTTGAATCAACGCGGCGCGTCCACCATATGGTTCTACCCAGAATGGATAGAACCTGGGGCGTAACTCTTCAGTAAAACAACTAGAGATGTTATTATTTTTTTATCATTCAGGCGAATATAAAGAATTTTATCTAAATACGAGAGGTTTTCTTGGTGCCTGAAGATCTACTCTTGAATGGAACCTTCTATCAAAAGACAGACGATTCCTTATTTCAAATCTTAAAATCGTAACATTAACTTCTTAATATAAATGCCAACCGTAGGCATTGCAAAAGCAAAGAGTTTACCCAAAACAAGGAGGTTGTAACGTACCGGACGTTACACTACCGCAAACGCAATTAAAATAATAACAAAAGTAGAGTAGTGTAGTGTAGTAGTGACTTACCGGTAGTTTGCGTTATGTTGGTTAAAAAATGGTCAGTTGCGTGTTACGTAACGTTTATGGGGGGCGTAATTTGCGTTACGCAATACTTGAACGCTCCTTTATTTGTTAACCCTTTAACTCGAAGGAAATAGGCTAGTTGTCTCATGTCGAATTGTATTAAATAAATGTTTATTGTTATAATTTTTATTTTTTAAAGCATGTAACTGCTTGATGTTTAAATCTAAAGAAAATATAACTAGAAATGCCACGCGGACCAGGCAGCAGACGGGACTCGAACCCGCACCCTTCGCAATCCGGGCGAATGCACTGACCAATTATGCTACTGCGGCCCTCACGGACCGCGTCGAAATTCTTCTAGCCATTCTTAAGCTGCAAGGCAGCGCCATCTCTTCACATTGTAGGTAACCCACAATGTCAAATGAATACTTTTACAAGTATTAAACATTTGAAAGAAGAAATAGCAATTACAGTTATAATTTTTATTTTTAAAGCATGTAACTGCTTGAATGAATGAGAATGGCTAGAGGAATTTCGACGCGGTCCGTGAGGGTCGCGGTAGCATAACTGGTCAGTGCATTCGCCTTATAGGTCTTAAAAAAATACAATACATTTTTTTCGGTCTAATAGAACATTTATTAATCATTTAAAACCTTTTTCCAAAAAGGGTCAACTAGCCTATTGAATAGGTATAGTACAGTGTAGATATTTGTTTCAAAATGAATTGTAATACGCATGATGACGGGGTACAGTAAACGAAATTCTATTTAGTCCGTTAGTTAGATGATCAAAAAATAATGGACACGTATTTTTTCTTTGGGCAATCAACCAAAGAATTACAAAGTTATAGCGCGTCAAAGTTTGGGAGTAGGGGCTCGTGACGTCACTTTTTAGTGAATTTTCACTTATAAGTGTACTCAAACGTGACGTCCTGCGACTTTTCAAATCAATATATCTCTGCAATGTTTATATTATGTGAAAAAAGAAAAAATACGTGTCCAATACTTTTTGATAATCTACCTGATAAACGAAGAAAAAAAAATAGTCATCATCCCTATTAAAATCGCGTTCGCTTTCGCCTTCGCTATAGACTTCGTGGTGGACGCGACGCGTAAGGGCAACAAGATCCGGTTCGCGAATCACTCCATCAACCCCAACTGCTACGCCAAGGTCATGATGGTCAACGGGGACCACCGCATCGGCATATTCGCCAAGCGAGCCATACAACCCGGAGAGGAGCTGTTCTTCGATTACAGGTAACTATAATCAACTCGGTGACGTACATCGTGGAAGTCGAGCAACTTTTGCTATGGCCGGTCGCAGGATGGGTGGCCAAAATTTTCCGAGGTCAGATAGCGTCATTGTTCCAATGCATAATATTTCAATTTGAGAGGAGCTTGATGATTAGCGCGTTCGGTTGCGATCGTTGGAGTTAAGCCACTTTCGCAGTGGTCGGTCGTTGGATGGGTGACCAAAAATTTACTATCTCGATTTCCTCCGTGCTTCGGATGGCACGTTAAGCTGTTGGTCCCGGCTGCAGATGCAGTCGTCAGCACCTGCCAATCCGCACTGGGCCCGCGTAGTGGGTCATGGCCGAATCTCCCTATTCCATACATAGGGAAGGCCTGTGCCCCAGCAGTGGGCACATTAATAGGCTGATGATATTATAATATTTGAGGAGCTCGGTGGCGCAAGTAGGTAGTTAGCGCATTCGGCTGCGATCGTTGAAGTTAAGCAACTTTTGCAATGGTCGATCATTGGATGGGTGACCAAAAATCAACTATCTCGAGCTCCTCCGTGCAGAGGAAACATTAAAGCTGTCAGTCTATGGCTTCATTTGCGGTGTTAGCACACAACAATCAACTACAAAAAAGTCCAAGGAAGAATGATCCTTATGCAGATTATCATAAAGACGACACATATTTGTGATAGGATTATAAAAGGACGTGTTTTATTGCAGATACGGTCCTACAGAGCAGTTGAAGTTCGTCGGTATAGAGAGAGAGATGGAGTTTTTATGAGAACAGCCGAAACAGTGAATTATGTTCACTGCACTGTTCACAGTGAATTATGTTCACTGCACTGTTCACAAACATCACTACACTTAGATATAAGATGCTCAAGAGCTTTTAAGAATCTTCATTAGGGTACTCAAGTGCTATCTATGTTTCTATAGCCTGACCGGATAAACTGTTAATTCCGTATCAGACTGATAATTTTCATAACTTTTAAAACATTGTAATCATGAAATAAATGTAATGCTTGTAGCAAAAAATAAGTCTTGTATAAAATGCTGACTTTTCTAGCTCGATACCCTTACTGGGTATTTGGTATTGTCTTCGAATACCCTAGCAAGAACCAATATCGAAATCGAACTCGATACGCGTCAAATGTCAACAAAATAAGTATGGAAAGGATAATGCCCATTTTTCTTTGGACATCCGTACCAACTTGCATCAAACCAAATTTACTCTCAAAAGTTTAGTTTTTATCTAACTTTTTACTATCAAAAATATTTTGTCAATGTTTAACGACATTTTAGAAAAAATTACATTAGTTGGGAAACAGACACAGCAACAGACACGACACTTCAAAGTCACTATCTCGATAATCCACAGAAAAGAGTCACTATCTCATCACTCTACTTATTATAGACGTGGTGAATTAATTAATTAAACGATAAAACTATCAGATCGACTCAAACGCAGCAAGGATAACATCAATCAAACAAAGGTGGTTTTCCAATTACAGAGCATAATGCGACTCAGTGGCGCACAATGCCGAATTATGCTGATGCTTAATTGGAACGTGGATTAGTTTTCAAATGCACCAGCAGAGTGCGCTAAGTTCAGTGTGGAAAAAAAAGTCAATGTTTGTACCTTCATCATTATTTATATTTAATTTTTTAACACACTTTGAATTAACTTTGATTATTTAAAAAAAAACTATAATGAAACGAAAGTTTTAATAATTTTTCAACAATAAAAAATATTACTAACGATAACATATAAATAAAACATTTCAAAAAACACTTGTTTATTTTCTGTCTCTGAGTTGGCACGATTGCACGCATCACACGAAAGCATTACTTTTGAGAGTGCTCGATTGTGCGAAGCGTTGCTGTAGTGAAACACTCAACGTTAAGCATTATGCCGCATAATGCGCTATAAGGGTGCACTCAGATTCAGATTCTGAAAACAAGCGCGAGAAATAAACAGTGTAGTCTAAGCAGGTTGCCTGCTTTTTCTCGCGCTTTGTTTTCTGAGTCTGAATCTGAATCAGGAGTGCACTCTGGCCGTACCCTTCGACTACACTGTTTATTTCTCGCGCTTGTTTTCAGAATCTGAATCTGAATCTGAGTGCACTCTGGCCGCACCCTTATGCTGTAATTTGGAAAGCTACCAAACAAAACAAACATCATCACAACGAAATTGACATTGACACTGACAGTTCCGTAATTAAGCGTTCCGAATCGCCATAAATGTATTTTGAGTTTCGAAAATACGCAATATTTACTTTAAGAAATGGTGAGATAAAATAACATGATATGAAAGAATTACATATTTCATTTTTTACTTTTAAATCTTATTTCCTTAGACAACGGCTAAAGCTAATAAGGTGAACAAAAAAAAATATGTGCATTGTTAAACCTCGGAAATGACAGACAACTGTTATCGGAACGTGCAAGATTACGAAAATGAACTTTTGATATAGGGATATATAATGTTTTGCGGGAGTAGGTAATTGCTAATTATTAAGCATCATTTATATATATTTTTTAAATGTGATTAAAAAAACGGTTAAAAGTCACTACATATTACATATTTATATAAATAAAACATTATTTTTGGTGTTAATATATCTATGACGCAATGTGGTACGGGGTATGGGCATTGTCCTTTGAACAGCGCCACAATGGACGTAACGAGAATTAAAACTCTTCCTTACATATCTTCTTGACATTTATCAAGGCGTATCAAGATCGAATTCAACTATTTGAGTTATATTTTTTAATTTTTTTAAGCATTAACTGCTAGATTTTTAAATCCAAATAAATAAAATTTTACTAGAAACAGAAAAAAACGCGGACCGGGCAGCAGACGGGACTCGAACCCGCACCCTTCGCTATCCGGCCGAATGCACTGACCATTATGACGTCTGTGTCGAATTTTTCTAGTATTTCTTAAGCTGCAAGGCAGTGCCATCTCGACTATTCGAATTCGATATTGGTCCGTGCTTAGGGTAGTCGTCAGTGGGTCAGTCGGTCAGTTCTACAGTAAGGTGGGTATAACTTGGATCAGATATGTGATGTATGTATGTTCATTATTCATATGACTGAGATACTTTAGAAGTTAAATTGAAACAATTTAACTCATAAGAGACTTTTATACTTTCAAAAGCTTTTTCAAATAAATATCAAAAATATAGAACTTGTTTTACTTTTTTGTAAACTTTTGAAGTCATAACCCATAATTTTTTTATCTCCTCTGGTTGCAATCGCAGTGGCCATTATTCCAGTTACCCCCGCGGGGACTGCCACCGAAGGCAAATGGGAATGAAGGCATTACGCCCACTTCAGTTTTTATTATTCCTGTTTACCTCTGGTTGCAATCCCTGCGGTAGTCATTATTCCTAGTTGCCCCCGCTGAGACAGCCACCAGAGGTAAATGCGAATGTGGTTATTACACCCACTTCAGTTTTTTATCCCATTTGCGTCCGGTACGCTCGTCGCCTCTGATCACTGTTTTCATATTTATAATATTTATCCACATGTTTCTAGTTTCTATATAGACACAACGTGTTTTAGTTACTTACAAGTGCTAATTACATATGGACTAATAACTTAAATTCAGTAGTGATTTTAATTGAATATTTTGAATATTTATTTAATTTTTCAAATTAAAACTGAACTTAATTGACTGTGTTAACTATCCTTTTCCAGTCCTTTTATTATTTTATTGTAATTATTAATTATTTGCATGCAATTAAAAAACATTTTTAATGATGCTAAAGAAGTATAACTTCTCACGCGCGTACATAAGTTACACACATCCATTTTTTTAATTTCCATTTGCCTCTTTTCACTGCCACTTTTCAAACACAATTTAAAATTAATCAGAGAGAAAAAAAACTGTTCTTGTTATTACATAAAACAAGCTTTCAAAAAATATATGTTTAATCACTGCCGGACCCCACTACCACTTTGGAACTGTCTCCTTTTAAAAATACAAGTCACTGGATGGGACACCAAAACCTTGAGTCCTTCCATGCTACGAGACAAACACTTTTAGAAATAACTAGTAGAAATTAATAATTATGTGCACTTTTGTCACCATCTCAATGGTTAGTTATTATGTTATGACACATTAATAAAGTTAATTGCAGTTGTTGCTATGTGGGAACGTACTATATATATGGCTTTTTTCCTCATGTATAACAACTGCCTGGAAGTAATGGTACCCAGTTGTAAGGATGGGCAATAAGAGATTTATTATAAATTAAATAACATTTAATAAAACTTTCTGAAATAATGTACATCACTGGTTACAAAATACTCAAAAACAAGCAAATGGTAAACAATTGTTTTCGTTTCATAACAGAATAGACTATTCACTGTTGCACTCAAACCATAATGTTTACTTATCATTACAAACTAAATTCATGGCTGTATAAATTATATAATCAACTCTTTCACAGTTATAAATGGTGTTATATGATGGATTTCAAAATATCTTTGATATTTCAAGTCTCATTTTACAGTGATAGTTTTCCTTATTAAATAAAACTAGTTTGACCGGGTTAATGCATGAACTTTATTTAGTTGTAAGGATGGGCAATAAGAGATTTATTAGAAATTAAATGACATTTAATAAAACTTTCTGAAATAATGTACATCACTAGTTACAAAATACTTGAAAACAATCAAATGGTAAACAATTGTTTTCGTTTCATAACAGAATAGACTATTCACTGAGGCACTCAAACCGTAATGTTTACTTATAATTACAAACTAAATTCATGGTTTTATAAATAACATGTAAAAAATCCTTACAACCATTATTCTGATGTTGCAGACCTGAAAAGACTGCAAAACGTCAATAAATAAATAAAGTTTGTGCATTAACCACTTAAAACTAGTTTTATTTAGAAGTGATATGCGTGAAAACCTAAGAAACAAATAAGTTTTGCCTTATTGTAGATATTATCATATTATAAACAAAAAATATTGTATTCATAAATTATGACTTGACATCAGGGTAAAATTTAAGGCAGGGCAAGGGAGCGGGGCTGTAGCCCAGGGGCCTCCACAAGAGGGGACCCCCCAACAAAGATAGAAAATTATAAAATTTCAGTGGGTCATCAACTAGGGAGATGCAAATCGTATACACCGGGTGAGAGTGACATCATTAATACTGTGAAAGGCTTTTATGTTAATCGCAGGAACCATCTTTCCAGCCATCCCTCCATCTTTCATGAATTTTACTGCAGTCAAATAAAGGTTTACCAAGTTTTAAATTGACAGTGTTGTGTCTCTCACACAACCACTTTGCTAGGTGATCTTTGGAATCTGTTCTTGGTGGATTTTTTTTGATGCTGGAAAATGAAAAATTTTAATTTTAGTTTTACATTCTACTTTTTAATATCAACATGGAAATTAGCTGAAGTTTTTTCAATATACTTACTCTTCTTGGAAGTCTAATGCACAAGGTTCACATGGATAAAATTTTGAAAATATATTAAAGAATTTAGACATATCTTCCGCTTCTCGCCTTGTCGGTTTGTCAGGATAATAAGATGCCATGGAATGCAAGAAACCCCATGTTGAACGACCAAGTTCATCCTTATCTAGTGGACAATCTGTTGCTTTAGCAGGTGCCTGAAAATAAATACAGGTATATAATGATTTCTAAACAAAAAAAAGGTCATTTAATCGCAATATTATACATTTTAAAGACAAGAACTCAGCTAGAAATTGCCGATAATAGATAATGTTCTTAGGAACAGACAACCTTACCATTTTATTTGGTGGATTTAATGTAGTTTTGTTCTGAGCTTTAGCCCACGTTTTAAAGTCAGAACAAGCTCGACATGGCTTATCTTCTTCTTCAGGCCCATGTGCAGGCATTTCTTCATAGATAAGCCGAATAGCAATACACAACAAATATGATGTAACACCAAAGATCCAAGACTAACGTTTTTCAGAGTAGTTCATGTTTCGGAGAAAACCTCAACTGAAGGCTATTTATTTGTGATTACTATTGGTCTAAAATATTATTTTCTACCAAGTGTTTTTCACCGGTTTCTAGCACTTTGTATTTTAGTGCTCAAACGAAAGAGCTGTCAAATCTGTTTGTCAATGTCATATCAGCAACCACGTGATACTGACACTAGCATGTTCGTTCAGAAACTTCACGACTCGAAATATTTTTAGTTAGAGGAGACTAGTTATGCAGACAGATAATCTTTGCCATAAAGCAACACGGCCGATGCGGATCTTTACGGATAGAAAATTCCATATCAATTTAATATAGGGTAAACTTCCAGTCATTGGACAATTAACGGGCATTTGAAGGCTTTGAAAAGTTTATGAACACATTTACAAAAATCCCGGCTAATATTATTGTTATTTTATTACTTTAATATGTAACTTTGTGTAATACATTATTAAAAACAACATTGAAGACCATAAACGCGAAAAAAAAACCTTTTAAAAAAAATGTTACAAAATGTATAGTCATTGGACAGAATTTTTATTGTTGGACAGCATCAACTAATCAATGGACAGCACTTTAATGAACTTTTAAATTATCAAAATAGTCAATAATATCTGCTTTTAAAGGAAATTAATAAAGTATAAACTGTTCGTAATTACATTTATTAGGAAATAATCAATCAGAACATACATTTTTATATCTTAGAATGAATTGTTTAATCACATTTGGTAACAAAACTTATATTATTCAGTCTTACTAAATCTTAATTACTTCTATAAAGCTTTTAACATAAAATAAAATGGAATTATAAAATTTAAATCAAAATAAAACAATGTCACGCAGTCTTAATAACAGGTTTTTCTTCTATTCGATTCAATCATGTAATGTTTGTGCATCATCACCACTATCTTAATAACATTTTCTTTTATTATGTTCGACAATCATATTATATAATCTTTGTGCATCATCACCACTATCTTCGCTATTCCTTTCAGAGCTGAGATCAAGAGTGTCGTCATGACTATCTTCTTTATAGCAACAATGGCATATAAAAAGATCAATTCTTAAATCTTCGGGAACATGCTGTTGATGCTTAGCTGGTATACATTTTACGTGGAATATCGCCGAACACATATCACATACCACCCGATTTGATGTCTTAGTCGACTTATAGCATACCTTGCACGCATTTGTTGAAACAGCTTGAGCTTTGTTAACATTCTTTTTTGTTTTCTCTATCTTTTCCTTTTCTTTTTGTAATTTAGTTTCTTCCTTTTTCTTCTTCTTTTCCTCTTTTGCTTTTGTTTCTAATTCTTTTTTTGACATTTGTTCTCTAAACATTGCTCTATATTTGGCAGACGTTATTGCAAATGGCATTCTCACGGTGTTCCTTTTACCTTTCCTTTCGGGTGTTTTTGGCAAAGTCAAAAAATTTCCCAAAAGGCTGTTTGAAACAACTTTAAAAGCAGGGCTAGTCTCTATTTGCTGAACATTCACTTGTGCTGAGCTTACATAAATATTATTAGAATTAACAATTTGTGTGACTGGAGTCATGTTTTCTGAACTTTCAGGAACAACATCCGATATAAGAATATCTTCATTCAAATTATCATTCTTGGAAAATATACACTGTAAGACATTTACTTCGTTATTTTCATGTGCATCAAATATTTGCTCCTGTGTCATATCATCATCACATCGACTTTCGTTATTCATTTCTATATCTTCATTGGGCTGAATAGTCAAAGGCGGATCTATATGCTCTAAAGGTATATTTACTTCACGGCTGGTTGAATTATTTTGTGCTGATGATGACTGAGAGGAGTAAACGTCAAATACTGAGTAGAGACGGTATAAAATATTCAAGTTTTCGTCATCTACAGGGTTATTACCATAAGTATACAATTTTGACATAATAGATGGTCCAACCAATTCTTTAAATTTTGCCAAAGTAATAACATTTGAAGTATTTGTTTCAGGTTGCTGCTGAACAGCCAGAACATCTGTACCTGAATTATTATTGTTGTTTATTCCACCGAGGCACTTGGAATAGTCTACCGCGTTAGGATCGAATGGTACTAAACCACAACAACGAAACCCATTAATCAGAGTATCTGGTTTTATAGATTTTTGTAATGCTAGTTCCAGAACACATGCAAAATTCACTTTTGTAATTGGTTCGCCGTTGTTTTCTAAATGCCATAACTTTACAGCGTCTTTCCAAGCAGCCTTAACTGGCCTAAACACGGCTACATCGGCCGGTTGCAGGATCCTAGTAGCATTAGGATACAATGCTATTACTTCGATGCCCAACTCTTTGCACAGCTTACTTACACCATACGTAAGATGAGTTTTATGTCCATCTAAAAAATATATGACAGGAAATTGCACGCCTTTGGCAATCAGATGAGGGTGAAATATGTTTGCTATATATTCGAAGAACAGTTCGGATGTCATCCATCCATTTTCACTTCTACCAATTCCCCATTCTTTGGGAACTCCGTCCGCAATTTTTTGAGGTATTCTTTGATAGTTGTAAACAACCATAGGGGGACACGCGGTACCATCAGCGGAAAAAGTAAACATTACCGTGACTGACTCCTTGGCATTACCTTGATCAACTTTATATACATTTTGGGTTCCTTTCTCTGCTAGCACTTTACCCGTTTTTGGACATAATTGGAATCCACTTTCATCGCCATTATAGAATGAACCATTTCATTAAAAATATTTAACAGGTTGTTTTGCGACAAGTAGTCATGAATTTCAGAGAACCATTTCCTAATATCAGATTCCGAAACACATGCACTAGATTGTGTTACACCTTCACTGGTACGGAATACGATGGCTGGATGTCGTCTTAAAAATCCTCTTACCCATCCATCTCCAGGATAATTATTAATAAACTTATTGGGTCGTGGATTTTCGGTCAAAAACTTGAAAACACTTTGTTTTAAATCATCATTTTTTAAAGGGAATCCTTTCTTCATAACTTCCTTTATCCAAACCTCTAAAGTACGCTCCTCTTCTTCAGACAGAACGGGTGGTGGACCAAAAGATGTTCTATGGGTTGGGTTTTTGAGTTTGAAATGTAAGGTAGACTTGGGAATACTGTATTTTCGCGCTATTTCTCGAATTTTACCAGTTTCTCTTATTTCATTAAGTGCTAGAGTTAAAGTATTAGGATCATAGTCTTTCTTCTTCCCCTTAGGCATTTTTTTCTCTTCTAAAATCCGCTATCCAAGATTACCTGCAGCCAACGAGTTATTGGACACATTAATATGAGTCGTTGGACACCCTGTCCAAAGACTAGTAGAAAATGTCTTAATGCAATAATATAAAATGTAGTTGCTTTTGCTTAAAAATGAAGGTAGGAGAGTCTATAATAGCTTAAATTTATTTCAATTTCAAAAACACAGTTATTGAACACCTGTCCATTAATCAGATTTTAACATTAAAATATTTGAATCATTGGACAATAGATTATAACCTAAAAAATATGTTTTAAGGTCACCAATTCCTATAAATTCTATGGTAAATACGATAATGCTTTACTGTGTACACGACTAAGCATATGGGATTAACGATAAGAAAATTAACTGCTATAAACTTTGTTGATAAACTTACCGAATTCTTTATTTTTCTCTAGAAATACCGCCGACTGTGAGGACGCTAACAAAAGTAAACAAAAATTACCTACTACTGCCATCTATTACAAATGTTTTGAACTATTGAGTATTGTCAAAAAGCAAAGTTTAGAAAGAAATTAGTTCCAGTGTTCCCGTTTTTTAAGCAACCTTAATTTACATGATTTTATTGTGTTCTGTCCAATGTCTGGTAGCGTCCAATGACTGGAAGTTTACCCTAATTAAAAAATATGGGTGCGTGTACTTAAGTACGCGCGTGAGAAGTTATACTTCTTTTTGGAATTATTAAAAAATAGTTTTTAATTGCATGCAGATAATAATAAGACTATTAGAATAATAGTCGTATATTTTAATCGTAATTAGTAATAAGAAGAGAATAATAATAATAATAATACAATAAGATAATAAAAGGATTGGAAAAGGATAGTCAACGCAGTCAATAAAGTTCAGTTTTAATTTGAAATTCAAAATATTCAATTTAAATCACTACTGAATAAAATTTATTAGCACATATAAATTTCGCATTTGTATAACATTATAACACGTGTTAAGAATATAGAAACTAGAAACATGTGGATAAATATTATAAATATGAAAACAGTGATCAGAGGCGACGAGCGTCCCAACATGTGCGACTAAGAGATCCTATTACTATTTTGTTGGAAGCTTTTTTTCGAGACTTACGAGTAATGTGCGGTTTAGCGGCCGACTTCATGGTGTTACTTTTCTGTTACAGTGTTGCGCGCGCATCTTAAAATTTCACTCTCATCATTTTTTCATAACGCGCCCGCGGCTAACTTCATTATGTTACTTTTGTGTTACAGTGATGCGCGCGCATCTTAAAATTTCACTCTCATAATTTTTTCATAACGCGGCTAAAGAAGTATAACTTCAAAAACATCTAAAGAAAATATTCACTAGAAAAGATTACACTCGGTCTAGGTATACAGGACTCGGAGGGTGCCCCCTTCGTAATCCGGGCGGAAAAGTTTAAACTTTAAACGCTATATTCTCAAAATCTTGTATCTTACTGCATTCTTCATTAGGACGACCGAATTGTTTACCTTGGGATCATAGACATAGTACCATAGCAATAACATTAACAGCGGCCTAAGGCCGCGCGCACTTTCAACAATCAACTCGACTCGTCACATGCTCCGTCATAACTGCAACATCCATGACTGGAGTACAAATGCTCGTATTCATCACACAAAGATCTATCGCGGGATCTCTCGAGATGGCGACACCTTAAAATCCGGCGTTAGGTAGGTAGGTAAGGTGTAAACAGTGGGTAGGAGAAGTAAAACAAAATAAATGTTAATATTAATAATTTTATTGACTATTTACAATAAGTTGTATCTTAGCAAATAATGACCTGCTTATTTGCCTATGGCAACATGTGATAACAATTTGCACTTAAAAATTATACTGGAATTTGTTTAAAACAAAATCTGTGACGATACATATCTGATCATATACACTAACGGTTTTTAACAGTTGGAACCACCGAGTTTCTACTGTTCTACTAATTATTTACGACATTAAAATACTTGTTCTGAAAATAATCATTGGATTATGCAATTTGCTCATTAGTTACAAATTGCTATCTATGATTCTCTAACTAAACCTAACCTTAAATATGATAACAGTGCATCCTTGTCATTCTCTATACAGAATGAGAAAAAGAGACTGGTGTTATATATCGTTTTAAATTTCGAGAATCACGCCAGAATCGACACCATTGTAAAGAAAAAAAAAATAGTGAATAGGCTAACTGAACAGACGCACATTCCTTAACCGTTTAGTCACCGAGGCGTTGCTTAGATGGAGAATGGAGTGTTCTTAGCCGTAAAGTAGATAATGGTGTCGATTCTGGCGTCATTCTCTAAACTTAAAACTAAATTTAACATCAGTCACTCCTTACAGAACTCTCCTCTCTATACAGAATGCAAAGGAGAGACTGATGTTAAATTAAGTTTTAAGTTTAGAGAATCATGCCAGAATCGACACCAATATTACAAAATTTAAAAACAACTCAATTTTATAGATCAAATCAATGTTTAAAAATTAACCTGTTACCCTTCAATGTTTCATCTGGCCAGTTTCAACTCGAGTTCCTTTCGCAGAATGCCATGATTTCTGAAAATTTAATAACACCGTTAGAGTTTTTAATTAATGAATAAGGGTAAGGGGTTTTATATAAAATATCCTAAAGGTGTTAATGTCACGAAGTGTCGCAAGAAAGAAAGAAAGAAACAAAGAAAAACATTTTATTAGCCTTCACAGCAACACTTAGAAATACATTTTTTTATTAAATAGTGAAACATAGTTATAAGTATGAAAGATAAAAAATAAAAGAAAAATAAAAAGAAAGAATCAAGAAGTCTCGAGCTAAATATTTAGTACACTATTGTAGTTCTTTAGTGAGTCACAAAAATGTCGCGAGGAGTGTTTCGAAAAGGGACACGAAACTGTCGAGTGTCATGAGAAATGTCGAGTGTCACGAAAAATTTACAAGAAAATAGTCGCGAAAAATGTCGTGTAACGAAAAGTGACACGAGATAATTCACGGGGACTGTCATGAGAAACGTCGAGTGTAACGAACATGGTCATGAAAAGTGTCGAGAATCAGCAAGTGTCACAAAATGTAATGGGAAATATCGAGTGTCACGAATATTGTCGCAGGAATGTCAAGTGTCACGAGAAGTGCGGGCTGCAGTAGTAGCGAGCTCAGGTACGGGACGTCCATTGTCTCGTGTGCGTACTAACTTGCTCGTATATCTAGCGCGGCGTTGGTAGTGTCCCGCGCGGGTAGGGTTGGGTCGTCGGCGGCGCGTGCTAGAGCGGGCTGCAGTAGTAGCGAGCCCAGGTACGGGACGTCCATTGTCTCGTGTGCGTACTAACTTGCTCGTATATCTAGCGCGGCGTTGGTAGTGTCCCGCGCGGGTAGGGTTGGGTCGTCGGCGGCGCGTGCTAGAGCGGGCTGCAGTAGTAGCGAGCCCAGGTACGGGACGTCCATTGTGGAGTGTGCGTACTAACTTGCTCGTATATCTAGCGCGGCGTTGGTAGTGTCCCGCGCGGGTAGGGTTGGGTCGTCGGCGGCGCGTGCTAGAGCGGGCTGCAGTAGTAGCGAGCCCAGGTACGGGACGTCCATTGTGGAGTGTGCGTACTAACTTGCTCGTATATCTAGCGCGGCGTTGGTAGTGTCCCGCGCGGGTAGGGTTGGGTCGTCGGCGGCGCGTGCTAGAGCGGGCTGCAGTAGTAGCGAGCCCAGGTACGGGACGTCCATTGTCTCGTGTGCGTACTAACTTGCTCGTATATCTAGCGCGGCGTTGGTAGTGTCCCGCGCGGGTAGGGTTGGGTCGTCGGCGGCGCGTGCTAGAGCGGGCTGCAGTAGTAGCGAGCCCAGGTACGGGACGTCCATTGTGGAGTGTGCGTACTAACTTGCTCGTATATCTAGCGCGGCGTTGGTAGTGTCCCGCGCGGGTAGGGTTGGGTCGTCGGCGGCGCGTGCTAGAGCGGGCTGCAGTAGTAGCGAGCCCAGGTACGGGACGTCCATTGTCTCGTGTGCGTACTAACTTGCTCGTATATCTAGCGCGGCGTTGGTAGTGTCCCGCGCGGGTAGGGTTGGGTCGTCGGCGGCGCGTGCTAGAGCGGGCTGCAGTAGTAGCGAGCCCAGGTACGGGACGTCCATTGTGGAGTGTGCGTACTAACTTGCTCGTATATCTAGCGCGGCGTTGGTAGTGTCCCGCGCGGGTAGGGTTGGGTCGTCGGCGGCGCGTGCTAGAGCGGGCTGCAGTAGTAGCGAGCCCAGGTACGGGACGTCCATTGTGGAGTGTGCGTACTAACTTGCTCGTATATCTAGCGCGGCGTTGGTAGTGTCCCGCGCGGGTAGGGTTGGGTCGTCGGCGGCGCGTGCTAGAGCGGGCTGCAGTAGTAGCGAGCCCAGGTACGGGACGTCCATTTCCGTACACATGGCGGTGACACCGCCCGTGGTGGCCGGGAAGATGTCGCTCCGGGTCTGGTGGACACCAAATATACCCATTAAAAATAGTAAAACAAAATTAAATCTCGTCAAAACTATTTTCAAAGTGGACGGGGTGTAAATGGAAAAATCCTATGGAAACACTAACTTTAAGTTAAAGTTGAAAGTATATTTTTTTTGGTTTTAATCAATGGCACAAAAATATGAAACTAACTCTCTTAGCTGTATCCAATGAATTAGAAATGATTTGGAATATAAACCACGCTAACAGTGGTTCCACGCAAACTGCGATCAAGTGGGCGGGGCGAAAAAGCTGACATCAACACGCCGATCACGGGATTGGTTCAAATTTCCGTTTAACATTATCTTATCCAATAAATAGATAGCCGAATTTATTCGCAGATATTTGATTTGTCAAAGTATTTTGTTTTGTCTGTTTGCGTGTCGCGTTAGTATTGAAGTTTAGTAGTATCAGTTTTTGGAACTATATTACAGAGAGCTTTGTTAGAAAGTCATCATCATCATCATCATCAGCCTATTAATGTCCCCACTGCTGGGGCACAGGCCTTATCTATGGATGGAATACTGAGATTGGGCCATGACCCACCACGCGGGCCCAGTGCGGATTGGTGGGTGCTAACGACCGCAGATGCAGCCGGGACCAACGGCTTAACGTGCCTTCCGAAGGAGCTCATGTTATTAAATTTTTGGTCACCCATCCAATGACCGACCACTGCGAAAGTTGCTTAACTTCAACGATCGCAGCCGAACGCGCTAACCACTTGCGCCATCGAGCTCCTCGTTATAAAGTAATGCTTCCATATTATCATTTCTAATTCGCTGGCTGTACCACACAAAGTTTACCCAGCGTTCTGAACGAGTTTAAAAAGGAAATGTCATACAAAATTAGTCTACCCATTATGTCGATTCACCTTACAATATGGGCACTGGAATCCGGCCATGATTTCCAGCGCACCTTTCACAGGGATTTTCAGTTTGTGGAGAAGATCCTCTTGCGCACGTGTCACAGTATTTATGACCTATATATTAGGTCCTTACATATGAAACTGGCGTTTTGTATGGGAGGAATAAAAAGTCATTTTTTTTGTAAAATATCTCTTATCTATTAGACAAGTCTGTCCGTCCGTCTGTGGTGCTGTTTCAGCGGCCAAACCGTAAGAGATAGATAAAGAGAATATTTAAGTTATAAGTTAAGAATAGTCTGATAAGACTACATACCGGATTTGAGTAACGTAGCACTTCCGGTTTTAGAGAAATCACGAATTTCAAACGAAACCACACAATATCTCCGAAGTTCTCAATTAATTAAATAGATTTTTTTTTAAACCAGGTTTTGGTGAACATTTGGTTCACTGGTTTGCTAGTATTTAATTAATCAAAGTATGAATCGTTGTTATCTATGCACTTTTGCCATCTCATAGGTGGTACATGAAAAAGAACTCAGAAACTACACTTGACTGAGTGGAAAACAGGTGAAGGATGCCGGCAAACAAAAACGCAATTCCGGCGGCAAACAAGAGACTTGCCCGCACCCTTACCAGACTTAATAGGGACAAACTCCGCATAATTATAGGAACCCTAACTGGTCATTGTCCCCTAAACAAACTATACACAATAGGAGTAACAGACAGCCCCCTATGCAGAGGATGTATGGAGGCAGAGGAAACGCCACAGCATGTCATTATGGAATGCAGGAGTGTGGCAGTCACCCGCATCGCTTCCGGAAGCTTGCAGCAGTCTGCCAAGACTGCTTTCCTTCTGGACTAACCTAGGCTGGCTGGACAAACGGGAATGTTTCAAGGCACGTACAATGGTCCAATGATTAGGAATAAGTGCGAAACCGCACTGAAAAACTAACTAACTAAAAAGGTGGTACATGAAGGTCGTTTGGACTGCCGCAGCACTGGTGCCATGGTAGAACTCGTACTCGTAAATATACTGATATTTCATTTTCTCGTCTGTGTAGTAATAAGCGACACGAAAGAAAAAAATAATAAGGAAAAAATCAAATGTATGACTGTTTTCAAAACTCAAATGTACCAGCTAAATCATTTTGTAAATTTAAATTCGGAATTCTTAACCAAAGAGGAGATATTTCAGATCAAAGTGGTCAGTACGACAAAACGCTAATTTCATATGTAAGGGCCTAATATCGTATCTCCTTACGCACGTCTAGTAGTGCCTGTGAGCTTTATGAAATGAAATGAAATGTCATTTATTCAGTCTAGGCTGTTACAAGCACTTGTGAAGGTCAAGAAGCTACACCATCGGTTCGCAAAACTACGGCGGGAGACCTTGTACTGAGAGGAACCGGCAAGAAACTCAGCAAGGGCTGTTTTTTCTCCCTGTATTGTTATATACAGTGTCGTCAAGTTGAAAAATTACTTCAGAAATACGTCTGAAGTCACTTTCCATTACATCATCTAGAATATAAATATATAGTATATAAACATATATTGTCTCACCTTACAATGCGGGCACAGGAATCCAGCCATATTCTCCAGCACGCCTATGAGCGGCACCTTGAGCTTGCGACAGAAGGAGATCTCCTTGCGCACGTCTAGGAGCGCGGTCTCCTGCGGCGTGGACACCAGCACGGCGCCGGTGAGGCCCGCGCCACACAAGTACTGCACCACGCTCAGGTGCTCGTCGGAAGTGCCTTTATACCGCAACAGTAAATAACTAAATACAAAAAAAATGATGTGGTGTCGTGGGACACCAGGTAGGAACGAAGTTCCTTCGGCTAATGTAGAATCGACACAAATTGCAAACTCGCTTGTGTATGCGACTGTCGCGCCTGCGCACGTCTCATTTAACGGTTTTATTCCACGCACTTTTTTCCACGGATTTTTTCGGTTTTACTATCACATTTTTTTCAGTTCGGTCGCGCAGCAAAATCCCTATCCCCTCCAAGCCTGCCGTAAGGAACTTCGTTCCAATAACTAAATACAAAAAAAAATAACTCGACAGAAACATTAGTTTTTCGAAGCTACGAGTAGCTTGATAAAGTAAACAAAAGCATAATTATGTCGACGCAGTCTGCAAAGGATGCGAAACGTCATAAATAAATAAACCAGTGCATCTATACCAATGGTTCCCAACCAGTGGTCCGTGGACCACCAGTGATCCGCAGAAGCCAAAATATAGCAGAAGCTAAAAGTGTTATTATTTCTTTTTATTTAATTTCATATTAGATTTTTAATTAAAGTTTCAGTTTGATTATTACAGTTTATTTTTATTAAACTAAAATTTAGTTATTTAGTGACTAAATAGTGGTCCGTGCCAAAAAAATGTTGGGAACCCCTGATCTATACCGTTGAAACTTTACCGTTTTATTTAATGAGTGGCGAGCGTGAAAACCTAAGATACAAATAAATAAATACACTTACACACAATATCTTAATTAGCACCAAATATACTGCTAATACTTTCGTGATAAGGTCTTGTACTGATTATAACAATAGGTTCACATCAATCGACATATTTAACTGTTCACTCAAAAATTGTAAAAAATGTATTCACGATATGGTAGATAGTTCATAATTATTAATTGTAACCAACAAAACTTGTTATAAATAAAACTAGTTTTTACGGGTTAATGCACGAAACATTTATTTATTTATTGACGTTTCGTAGCCTTTACAGGCTACGTCGTCAGAATTAAACTTTTATTAAATTTGTCGAGCTTCCTTAGAAAAAAAAAGTTTCGTGCATTAACCCGTAAAAACTAGTTTTATTTAATGAGTGATGTGCGTGAAAACCTAAGAAACAAAAACTTGTTATTTTTTTGTTTTACTGGTAAAAACATTAACGTCTTTTTTCTTTCTCAATTTTAATTACCTGAACTCCTTTATATGTTTTATATAATAGTGGAAACTTTATTGATGTATGTTTGTTAATTAGATCTAGGTATAAGTATTAATTCATTGTTTGTTTCCCAAATAAAGATAAAATAAAAAAAAAATAAAAAAATCTATCGGCCTACTTAGCTTTAAAAGTTTCAACAGTCTATAGCAAAAATATAATTAAGTTACGTGAGCAATATTAATGATATATTTTCAAAAAAATACATACCTAATCATAACCAAAATCATTTATTCAGTTTAGGCTGTTACAAGCACTCATGAATGTCTAGAAGCTACGCCATCGGTTCATAAATCTACGGCGGGAGACCTTGTACTGAGAAGAACCGGCAAGAAACTCAGCAAGGGCTGTTTTTGCTCCCTGTTTTACTATTTACAGAGTCGTCAAGTTGAAAAATGCCTTCAGTGATGTTTCATGAAGACACCTTTCATTAAATAATGTGAAATTATACATTAATTATTCAACTGCATTTTGTTTGCTGTGTCATACAGTATAAATACAGAGTACAAATACAACAAGTTTCATTTTTTTGGAATAAAATTTTTAGGAGTTGTTTAATAAAGGAATTGTTATATATTGATAGGGTAACGAAAAGAATTTTTTACCGACATACACACCACAGAATGTTATTAAAATTCAATGTCGTTTATTGAGGCTATTACAAACAATTATTAAAGTCAAATAACTACGAAAAACTCGGTTCTGAATTCTACGACAGGAGACTTTGTAATGAGAAGAACTAACAAGAAACATTCACAAACTATCTCTGTTTGTTTCATCAATTGAAAGATGGCATCAAACTTATAATTGATGTTTTGAGTTGAGCTTCCAATATCACTCCACAGAAATCAGAAATCAATATATCTTTATTCAAATTGGTACAACACTTTTGAATCGTCCAAACATTTTTCTTCCCTACCACTCTTTATTGGACATATTTTTTAGCTGCGGAGAAAAACGAGCGAAAAAAATAATAAAACACGTTGATTTCCGTAATAGACAAACTGAACTGTTTTATTCACCAAGATAGGTATATATAAAAAAAATGGGTGCGTGTACTTATGTAGGCGCGTGAGAAGTTATCCTTCTTTGGCATCGTTTAAAATTAGTTTTTAATTGCATGCAAATAATTAATTACAATAAATTAATAAAAAGTCTGGAAAAGGACACAGTCAATAAAGTTCAGTTTTAATTTGAAAAAATAAATAAATAATCAAAATATTCAATTAAAATCGCTACTGAATATAATTTATTAGAACATATGTGATTTGCACTTGTATGAAACTCAAACACGTATTCCGAATATACAAACTAGAAACATGTGGATAAATATTATAAATATGAATACCTATAACTGTTACTTTATTACAAAAAATAAAGATGTGGTTTTTGGTTCTACTACACCAATGGTCAAGAGATGGCGCTGTAGTCTCCTGAATCGTGCTTTGGTTCCATTGTTCCAGATTAATAAATACTTTTGATAGGCCTTCACAATGCAGTCGTTAGCACCCACTAAATAGAGATTCTATTTCTATTTTGTTGGTAGATTTTCTTAATGTGCGGTAAACACAAAAGTAACAGCATGAAGTTGGTCGTTAAAGCGACCAACTTCATGCTGTTAATTTTTTGTGTTACAGTGATGCGCGCGCATCTTAAAATTTCACTCTCATCATTTTTTCATAGCGCGCCTAAAGAAGTATAACTTCAAAAACATAGATGGCGTTACTGTGACAATTACTATAGACTATTTTGTTATCTATTTTAACAAAAAACTGCACAACATTAAAAGCATAATGTAACAACATTTACAAATCATTATGTTGTTACAACGTCAATACAATCATGATTTATTTAATATAGAAAATCTGTTGGAATGATTGGAACAGTTCAGACCCAAGCATTTTTGTCTGTAATATAATCAGATACTTTGTAATAAGCTTTTTTAATAAGTGCTACAGATTGTTCGATTAAGAGAATTTTCTTCATTCATATGCATTAATTAAATTTTCAGTTCGCAATTATTTCATACAACTACGTAAAACATTTCCTTTATCAGAAAAATCTAATTAATTATGAACTCTACTCAAATCAGCGGGAAACCGTTGGAAGTTATAAAAATAATAAGTAACTCACCAGGTGGCGTATCGATCAATAAGTAGTCCAAATCTCCCCAGTCCACTTCACTCAAAAACTGCTTGATCATTCCTGTGCAACAATCAAACATTAAATACATTAATTAATTGTACTCAACCATTCATTCACATAAACCCTGGGGCAAGGATTTCCTATTAGAATAGGGATGATGACTATTTTTTCTTCTTCGTTTATCAGGTAGATTATCAAAAAGTATTGGACACGTATTTTTTCTTTTTTTACATAATATAAACATTGCACAGATATAATGATTTGAAAAGTCGCATGACGTCACGTTTTGGTACAATTTTCACTTAAAAGTGACGTCACGAGCCCCTACTTCCAAAATTTGACGCGCTATATGTAATTTTTTGGTTGATTGCCCAAAGAAAAAATACGTGTCCATTATTTTTTGATCATCTAACTGGCGGACTAAATAGAATGCCCCAGCAATGGGGACATTTATAGGCTGATGATGATGATAGGGTCAGGATGGGTAAAGGCTCGAGTGATACTCTACGCAAGTGTCTATAGGTTAGAGTGATCGCCACAGCCGCTTCATCTTCACCATACTTTATAAATGATCCCACTGCTGGAGCACAGGCCTTCCCTATGAATGAAATAGGGAGACCCGACCCACCACGCGGGCCCAGTGCGGATTGGTGGGTGCTAACGACTGCAGATGCAGCCGGGACCAACGGCTTAACGTGGCTTTTGAAGCACGGAGGAGCTTATTTCGACCTCTCCTCCAAGAAGGTTTGGGCACCCATCCAATGACCGATAATTGCGGAAGTCGCTTAACTTTCACGATCGCGTCGATCGCAAGGCGAATGCGCTATCCATCTGCGGCATCGAGCTCCTTTATACAGTCGCTTACAATCACGCTTTCATGCAACCTAATTAACAAAAAATGATTTTTTTTATTCGATTCGTTCAAGAAAAAGAAGGTATGGTGTTGAAAATATGAATCAACATAGCTTTAACAAGGCGGGCGACATTGAGATGATTCCGAATACAATTTTTAAAACAACCATTTTGGTGCTCAACGCAGAAGAAGTGGCGGACATCCACGAGGACGAAATATTAATAAGAATCGTTCTAAATTGCAAATCATCAAAGTTGTACGAGTCACCGATCGTACATAGGTTTTTGTTTAATTGTACATAATTTTAAGGTCGTACCGCCGCGTTTCGTAAGCGCGTGCAATTTGTACAATAATCATGTTTAATTACCTATATGAAATAAATCAGTGACAATAGGGGTGATAACGGGGTACAGTAAACGAAATTCTATTTAGTCGGTCAGTTAGACGATCAAAAAATAATGGACACATATTTTTTCTTTGGGCAATCAACCAAAAAATTACAAAGTTATAGCGCGTCAAAGCTTGGGAGTAGGGGCCCGTGACGTCACTTTTAAGTGAAAATTGTACCAAAACGTGACGTCATGCGACTTTTCAAATCAATATATCTCTGCAATGTTTATATGTGAAAAAAGAAAAAATACGTGTCCAATACTTTTTGATAATCTACCTGATAAACGAAGAAAAAAAAAATTAGTCATCATCCCTATTTAGCACTCTAACGACTCAACTCAACTCAACTTATCAGTATCATTTATCATTTTCTATTCAAGAAAGAAGGCTTAAGGAATTAGCTCTCACATTTACTTTGGTCCTTCGAGCCGGATCTGAACCTATGTACCATCGGTGACTCGTAGACAATTTAAGTGTAACTGATTAAGCTGTCACTATAACATAATGCAATGTGGTCACCTACCGTTTTTCTTAGGACCCCTCCATATCACCGCATCGTCGGGACTGCCCAGCAAAAAGCCGATGGACATCAAACACAAGTTGTCGCTCACATACTGCAATCAAAAAACATATTAACATCATACATGTTAAAGTAACTGTGTGTGTGACCATAGACATAAAGAACGTACCGATCGTATCCTCTCCAACAGTAAAGTTAAACCAGACATAAGTGTGAGAGAGAGAGAAATGAAGCGATCGTACAGCCAATAGGGTATTTGTCAGTGTTAAAAATAAAGTGCCAATTGTTAGCATCTGTGTTTAGAATGAATATTGGCACAAGATTTTACTATTTTTACAAAAAAAATATTCATCATTTTACTAAAAACCCACGAAAAAGATAATAGTTTTCTTATCTATTGTCACGTGACCCAAAACGCTTTGGATTGGCGGAGCCTAAAATGACGTCACACGCAAGTAAACTTCCAGTTTGAGTGACATTACATTGTATCGTTTCACGTTTTAATATCAGTCGTGTGACGTCACACACTAGTAAGACGCCATATTGTCCAGAGAAACGTTTTCGCGGCAGCTTGACAATGGAGTTTTTGATTTGGCTATTTTTACTGAAATACACAACAGAATGATGAATATCCACTTTTTACGGACTCCATAAACATTAGTCAATAACGTAAGATCGTTTTCTAAAACTTGTCAAATATCCTATAGTTGGTATAGGTGTTGAGTGCTGCGTTTATTTCTCTCGTTTTGGAGAGGTGTCATTATGCAAGTGTCGTTCAGTCCATTCTCTATGTCTATGGGTTTGATATTGCGGTATGATAGTGTAGTGTGGTGTGATGAGATAGAGTAGTGTAGTGTGATAGTATAGAGTGGTGTGATAATAGTGTAGTGTGTTGTGATTGAGAAAGTGAAGTTTGGTATTACAGTTTCGTGTGGAGTAACAGTAAAGTGCAGTATACTAGCAGGGGCAGATTTTCCGGGAAAAAAATATTGCCACCCTTTAGTGACGTACTTTACGGCTGACCCAAGTAAATTTTGCCGCTCTAGGCAAATGCCCGACTAGACGCGGTGAAGTCAACGGAGAATCCGTGGTTCCGCACTTAACAGCGTAAAGGGTATTCGCAGGGTTTTAGTGGATAGTATGCCGTAAGCGCTCGTAAGCCGCGCGGACTACTTAACGGCTTCTCCGTTTCGCACCCGTGAGACTTGCGAGAGGCTAGGTGTGAGGTCCGTTCGTTGGTGTGCCACTTAAGGGCGCCAACGTCTGTAAACAGAGGTTTTGCCTGCGTAAAAAAAAAGACGAATGCTCAGCTCCCCCCCTTGGATCAGGCCCTGCATGCTAGTGTAGTTCAGTATGATAGTATAGATAATGTGATATTTTATCGAGGTGCGATAATGTAAAGTGTGTGTGTGTGTATGTATGCATGTGTGTGTGTGTGTGTGTGTGAGGGTTACCACGGGGGACCATCCGGAGCCGGAGTGGTGCACCCGCTCGCCGCCCACGCCCAGCACGCGCGGCTGGCTCGGACCACATATGTCCGCGTCCAGGACACCCACCTGACAGTTTTATTCACAAATCCAAAACTTATTACAAAACTCAGCTTCAACCTTACGACTCTACATATGATAATCATCATCATCAGCCTATCAATGTCCCCACTACTGGGGCCAGGCCTTCCATATGGATGGAATAGGGAGTTTGGGCCATGACCCACCACGCGGCCCCAGTGCGGATTGGTGGGTGCTAACGACTACATATGCAGCCGGGACCAACGGCTTAACGTGCCTTCCGAAGCACTGAGGAGCTCGAGATAGTAAATTTTTGGTCACCCATCCAATGACCGACCACTGAGAAAGTTGTTTAACTTTAACGATCGCAATCGAACGCGCTAACCACTTGCGCCATCGAGCTCCTCACAACATATGATAATACAGGGGGCAAAAATTAAGCCTTGCTAAATTTCTTGCCGGTGCTTCTCAGTACAAGGCCTCGCGACGTAGATTTGCGTACCGATGGCGTAGCTTCTCGACCTTCACAAGTGCTTGCAACAACGTAGACCGAATAAATGAATTTCGATTGATTGATTGAGCTAAGACAATAGGAGCTCCGCTCATGGTATATAGGTACTCACAACCTGCAAGAAACTCAGCAAGGGATGTGTTTTTTACCAAACCGAGTTGTGGATTGAAAGCGAAAGAACAACATAAAGGGTGCCAGCTAGGTTTGCCAGATAGCCGGAAATTCCGGAATAGGGTATTTGACAGTGTTAAAAATAAAGTGCCAATTGTTAGCATCTGAATATTGGCAGGTGTTTTTACTATTTTTACAAAAAAAATACTCATAATTTTACTAAAAACTAAAGAAAAAGATAATAGTTTTCTTATCTATTGTCACGTGACCCAAAACGCTTGGGATTGGCGGAGCCTACAATGACGTCACAAGCAAGTAAACTTCCGGTTAAAGTGACATTACATTGTATCATTACATATTACGTTTGACGTTTTAATAACGGTCGTGTGACGTCACACACTAATAAGACGTCATATTGTCCAGAGAAACGTTTTCGCGGCAACTTGAAAATGGAGTTTTTGATTTGGTTATTTTTACTGAAAAACACAACAGAATGATGAATATCCACTTTTTAAGGACTCCATAAACATTAGTCAATAACTTGAGATCGTTTTCTAAAACTTGTCAAATACCCTATTGTCCAGTAATTAGGCCATATTGTCCCGGATTCCAATAAAATGCTAGTTTCGTAACAAAATTAACTAATAACGAATTACAAATTCAAATGCTTTATTGTGAAATTTTAATGTAGGTTAGTACAGCAAATTGGTGTTAGGATAAAAGTTTAGTGTCACTACATTTCGACCTTATTACAAGGTATACAATATTTTTTATGAAATAATTAGGTTTACAATTATATAAAAATCCATATTAATAAATTACAATTACAATAAAACAAGTCATAGATAGAATTAAATGTCAAAATTACTAAGCAATATGTCAAACTTATAATAATAATAAATTGTGCTATAATAGACTAAAATATAAGTTAATTACGTAATTATGTCCATTTCTTTCAAGGAAGTGTCACTAAGGAACTCTTGTGTATTATAGTATACTTTGTCAATTAATAGTTTCATAAAGCGTTTCTTAAACATAGTCATTGGCAAACTCTTTATATTATTGGGTATTTTGTTAAAAATTGTAGTAGCCATCCCAAAGACACTATTACACCGCTGGCCTGCCTGATGTTTTAATTCTGAGTGGATGAGAGGTTTGATTCGATGCTTTATTTTTTCAGGCCAGGCTTTGAAGGATTTCGTCTTAGAACTAATCGTCAAATTAACCATAGTTGAGGCTCAGGGTAAGTAAACATGTTTATTTAACCTTTAAGTTTACCCTCCTAGGATGTCAACAGTTGACAGAGCGTTTCAATAGTAATAAATTGCATTGATGCGAAGGTTCGCATACATCCTCGTGACCTATATAGTTGGAGGGCAGCGCGGTGCCAGGCGGTGGCGGGCACAGAGCGGTCGCGGTGAACTCGCGAATTCTTCGCGGCCCAACCGCCGGAATCGATACACGTAACGAAACGCCTCTAGATTCTCTATTGTTTGTTTAATTATGTTTTGTTTATAATTGTTGACACACTGCGATGGAGTTCGGCAACACGCAAGAGCGAAGGTCAAGGTACAATAGGGTAGGTTTTATTTACGTTATTTTACTACTACCTACATACTGTTTAAGAATAGGGATGATGACTAATTTTTTTTCTTCGTTTATCGGGTAGATTATCAAAAAGTATTGGAAACATATTTTTTCTTTTTTCACATAATATAAACATTACAGAGATATATTGGTTTGAAAAGTCGCGTGACGTCACGTTTGAGTACACTTTTAAGTGAAAATTTGAAGTGACGTCACGAGCCCCTACTCCCAAACTTTGACGCGCTATAATTTTGTCATTTTTTGGTTGATTGCCCAAAGAAAAAATACGTGTCCATTATTTTTTGATCATCTAACTGACAGACTATATAGAATTTCGTTTACTGTACCCCGTCATCATCCCTATTTGCTCAACTGTATGCCCACTTATTACAGTAGGTGGAGGCTTTGAAATTTGGATTATTAATTCTTGCACCCAAAGTCTAATATATCATCAAATTTAAAATAATAATTAGACATCGGATTTTATGCATTTGCATATGCAGGCGTGGTGTAGATTGGTGGGTTTACAGAAAAAAAAAGATATAATGACTAAATAAAACCACAAGTATTACTTTCATCCTGTTTTAAGTGGGCTATCCTTAACACTAAGGGGTATGAAAATAGTTTTCATCCTATTCTCAGATCTACTGTATAGTCACACAAAATTTCATAAGTAAAATTTCAAATTGAAATAAGAAGAAACAAGTTTTGTTAGAAACACCTGTGACATGAGAATTATATATATAAATTGATAAGATTACTGTAATCCAAATTTTCTATATTATTTATCACATCAAATGAATGGGATAAAATATATAATCAATATTGTCTACTTGTTGCCATGCTATCTACAACTCTCGGTTTCTAATAGATTAAATCTTTTTTATCCATTTAATAGCTTAAGTAGTGAAAATTATCAAGGTAAACTTGAAATAATTGGTGCATTCCTTTTGGGTAATATGTTTATCAGTAGTAAAATAAACAAAATATACACTCACATTTATGTCAGGGTTCTCATCAGCCAGTGCATGTGCCAAAATTGATGTAACAGTACTCTTTCCAACACCCCCCTTGCCTGATAGAATTAATATCTTGTGCTTCACTCCGGACAGTCGATTCTTTATGATTTCAATAGCTGGATCGGGCATGTTAGGAGCTCCTTGAAATTATATTAAATACATAAAAATACAAGAAATAAACAATTACATAATCATAGAATAGACTGAATCATACATCCATGACCAAATCTTTTTCAGATCAGATTTCAGATAAGGTACTTATAAAAGTTATTCAAAATAATAGTCATAGCAATTGTATTTAAATATAATACTGATTGTGTTAAGGCTAAATTTGAGACCAAAGAAATGCTAAATGTGACATCATTGAGGTGTTGCTTTGGGAGTAATATGTTAAAAAATATACATTTAATCTTGTTTGTAATAGATTTATTCTGCTGATATCTCTGCTGAAGTTACTAGCCATATAAGACGTGAAAATTAGTATATATGGACAATTATGAATGCTAAAATTTGTTAGAATGTCATTTGATCAACCAAAGAAAAGCACTCACCAGAAGCACATATGTTCTGGTTTGGACATCCGGCACATGCAGACGCTTTCCCAGCATCTTCGCTCCCAGTACCAGGGCAATCTAAAGAGATATTTGTGTTTAATTGAATAAAATCTAATGTGTATTTTTTTATCATAAATAATCTACTAAAATTATAAGTACTGTCAAGACTTACGCTGTGGGGCGTTCTCAGGAACACCATTCATATTTGTCGATTACTTTTTTGTGGGAAATTAGTGAATATAAAATATTTTTAATCAATTTCACACTAACCACAAAATAAAAACATCAGCTGGATGGTTTGCTATCTTGAACGTCAACTAGACATTGACATGTCAACACGAGTCATTTGTCAAAGTGTCATTTGTTGGGGCTGCGTTCAAAAATGATTTCAATATTTCAAAATCATTGACTATTTATGTAATAAAATACATTTTGTATTTAACCTATTTCTTCTTTTTCTAATGCCATTTTTGACAACCCAAATTGCTGTAATGCTCTTTATTTTTAATAGTTAGGCTAGAGTTAGATAATATTTTGGATAATAGTTTATATAAATAGTTTTCTCAATTGTAATGATCTAAAACGACTTATCAAAATGGCAAAGGAAGTTTCTATGTGCACGGTAAAACTCATAATTACTACACAAATACTAAATCTTTGTACTTACTACATCCGGTCATTCAAATCGATGTGTAGAGGACAACAAAGATTATTTTTACCGGATAAATCTAGGGTCTCGGAGACGAATTATAAAAATAAAATTTAAAGCCCGTGTTTAAGATAATATGTCTCATTCTACTTCTTTAGCAACTGCAACAATGGAGCCCCGTAAAAGAGACGGCGGGAGCACCAAGCGTGCCCCCTCAAGTGGGATACTGCTTCCACTCGCCTAAGAAGCACCCATGGAGGCCTATCATGGGCTACGAGGAAATCGAAGTCACACCTATGTGAGCTAATATACATATTATAATTCACCTACATTTGCACAGTAGCCGACTAGATTACAACTACATATAGTACTGAGTACAATTAATTGATGTGGTTAGAGGCGGATAAGTCGGAATTGACTTAGTATACGAGTATCAATGAGATCTTAAGTTCTATTCTCAGTCTAGTATTGCCCAGACTTCTATCGTTTTCTACATTGGGAGAATACGATATTTTTATTTGTCGTAAGTGTCATTGGTTTTAAAAGTTATTTTAATTTTATGTTATTCTGACTTTGTTAGAGTAGGTAGTGATGCCAATTCTGGCGTGATTCTCTAAACTTAAAACTAAATTTAACATCAGTCTTTCCTTTTCATTCTGTATAGAGAACGACAAGGATATACTGCTGTCAAATTTAAGTTTAGGTTTAGAGAATCATGCTAGAATCGACACCAATGTGACAGAATAAATTAGTATCGATGTTTAATAACACACTCATAATTCTGAAATGACTGTTAGGCATGATACTTTGCGCAAAATGATTCCAGGCCATCTCAACCCATAACGAATACCATGGTGGATCCCTGCTACACGCCGGCCGGCATGGCGGCGGAGCCCCTGCGCTTTCCTAACCTGGTGACGGGCTTCGACCGGAGCCCGGAGCACGCCGCACGCGCAGCTCTCTACACACGCTACACGCAGTACGAGTGGAACCAGAACAGCATCAAGAATTACAACGAGTCGGATGCTAAAAGGAACTTCTCGGAACGGGTCAGGAATGACATCATGAGAATGTTGAGGTATGGTTTTATTCTATTCTCAATTTTGGGATATGCTGATTTTAAGGTTGTTTTCCAATAATTCATTTGTTTTGAAGGGAAACTGATGAGATCGGCACTCAAGGACAAAGGGACTCTGGAAGGAGGATCGGTGAACGAATTACCGACACTACATTTTGGCGTAACGAGGTATGTCTAATTTTTTAAAACCTTACACACAGTCGAATACAATACTATCCTTTAATAATTCTGTCAATTTACTGACATACAGCTGCTAGCTGCATAATTTGTGTCTACACTTAACTGACAAAATCCATTGTTCGTATCCTGATTACTGATCCTGTCACTTTACACGGCTATCCTTATTATGCTCTATAGAGAACGGAAAGGAGAGACTGTTCCTGATCATGCCAAAAGAGCCTGAGTTGTAATCGATTGCTTGCTTTTATATCAAGGTAGCAATAGAAATGGAGCGTTTGGTAGCCACTTGCGAGAAGCTGAACGACACTCGGCGGCAGCTGGAGCGAGCGATCGCCGGGATCGAAGGCCCGCTGCACATCGTACAAGAGTGTTTATACCACAGGGAGAAGAGGCAAGGTGAGCACCTGTATGAATTTAGCGTAAACACTGAGATTGAAGGTGCTACTTTCTTACAAAGCAGATTCAATGTTTATCTTTAGTAAATAAACACCAACATTGGTTCACACCATTGTTCTGCGAAATCTACAATTCCCCTGCGACAAATATTTAACTAATCACTCATCGCTTAAAAGGTACTTATAGGTATTAAAATCAAGATTTGATTATCTTTAAAGGTTTGGAGCAAGTACACGATTCAGTCGAGCAGTCGTTGTTAAAAGAAGTCGCTATACTTCGTGAATGTCAGGACAAATTCAGGAATATGCTGGAAAAGGTACATACCCAATGTTAGCAATATCTGTTCCACAAGGGGCCGTACTCGCAGTTAAATTAAAAACTAGGTACGGACCCTAAATTAAAAGCATGTATATTATAACTTTATAGTCATCACATTTCATTTCATGAATAAACAAGCAAACCATTGTAATTCCGATGAGTGATGGTGCAGCCAGTAAGTATTTAAACGAAATATTGATCTTACGATCGATTCGTCTCGCCCACACTTTTACTATGTCTAGTGCCCATGTTACAAATGTTTGCTGAAAAGATACACGAAATATCATGTTTAAACCCTAGTCTCCTCAATATCCAGTTTGCTTTACAGGTGCGAGCGCAGTCGAAGAACTGTCGCGCGACGCAGCACGAGCTGGAGACCGACATGCGTAACAAGGAGTACGCGCTCGGCATCGACTCCATGTGCCATCAGCTCAACAACTTCTCCAAAGTCAGTCTAGTTACTTTTATTCAAATGTACATTCAGTGACGGAAAAGTGTTAGTTTGAAGGTTGTAAACATGGTACATATACATTATTCGTGAGGTGACGGAGAAAGAAACTACTACTCACCGCCCTTTCTCTTTCCATGGGTGTCGTAAGAAGCGACTAAGGGATATCGGAGCTTCCATCCGCGCTTTTGATGGTAGGGTGTCTAATACCCGGATGGTTTGTTACCACCGTGCGCATGGTGAAAAACCCGTGTGAAATGCTTCTCGCGCGTTTCGGAGTCAGCCAGCTACAAACAAAGCTCGAGTGGGGGTTGTCGCGACAGATTCGGTCCAGAGAAAGCATCTGTCGAACCAATGTCGGGAGGACTGTATCGACCCGCCGGCCAGGGAGACCCGTAGAAAAGGCTGTCCCGCTGGTCGCCCGTGGCACAGTACAGGGGCCCGAGAGTTCCTAACCAGTTCGCGAGGCTGCCCCATCATGTCATGCATAATCTCGGGGTGGGGGGTCGTGCCGGTTGGTGACCGGGGCGTGGGGTCCCGGCGGCCACTCCCGGGGGGGTGCGGGGGCCCTTCTGTCCGGCGGGTCGGCGTATATCCTCTGCAGACAGTCATTCCGGGAAACAAACCTCTCTAATTTGCCCGGTCCTGTCGCGACAACGTTCGCTCGTTTTACGTCACTTTTTCACCTCCATTATTGCAGCCCCTAAAACAAAGTAAGTTTGCGCGTACAGAGCTAGCTGCACACCCCCACGACTTCAACGATGTTTGAGGTCGAGTTCTGCAACATACACGGACTCCACTGTAACCTAAACGCTGTCTACCACCATCTTGAGACAGCACGGCCAGCATTGTTTTTCCTGGCGGAGACACAAATACCTACTTCCGCCTGCTGACACAGGCTACCTTAACTATCCCGGCTACGTGTTTCAAGAGTCCTTCAAAGCGAAAGTCGCGGTATGCCGGTATGTTTCTTGTCGCCCGTCTCCGCTCTGCTTGGGAGATCCCTCCTTCTCCATCCTGAGTGTACACGTCGACTGTGGTTTCTTGGCCCGAGTTTACGTGTGCCCCTACAGATCCCACACTGGCGATGTTGACACCACTCGACTTTTTGAACAGCTAAGCCGGGCAGCAGATGACGCTCAGGAACAATTTCCCAATCTAGAATTGGTGTTTTTGGGGGACTTTAATGCTCACCACATTCGAAGATCGAGGTCGATTCACTAAAAGCAGCTTAGAATTTTGCTTTCAAAGCCAGTAAGAAAGCTTAGATCAGAGCGGATGCCCATCGCGTTGCTCGTGTTGGTCAGGAACTTACAACGCATCCTACGGGCTCCCCTATTGGCGTTTGACTAAGGCCGTGCATTAGCGGAATAATGTGAGAGAATTTTTTATCTTTAAGGTTCAAGCCATGGGTGGCTATGTTAGCCTACAGTATTGACAATGCAGCCCGTGTGTGGTTTAACTGTACTCACCTCTCAGGCTAGATATCGTTATCAGTAATGTACGCACTAGGATAGAACCATATGCTTTTCCTGTCGCACAATGCTCGAGATGAAGGGCGAGATGGCAGAAAAAACACAATTATTATCTACTATATAAAAATAAGTCGGGTTTTCCTTCCTGACGCTATAACTACAGAACGCACGAACCGATTTCCACGGTTTTGCATTCGTTGGAAAGGTCTCGGGCTCCGTGAGGTTTATAGCAAAGAAAATTCAGGAAAAATTAAAAAAAAAACTTCTTTTAATCACCAAACGAAATGTTACATAAAACGAAGCCATCTGGTGGCGAAACGGAGTTCGCCGGGTTTGCTAGTCTTGTATAAAAATATATTCTACCTACCTAATGGGAATCTAACGAGTTTATATGATTCACATAGTTATCTTACTCACACACGTTGTAATGGCGGATAGCATAAAGTATTTGCACTGTGAAATGTAGTCAGAGCTCCACGGGAAAGGGGAATTGGGTTCTTTTGTGTATACAAGTAATAATTACTCCGGTTATAAATGCAAATCACATTTATTCTAATCGTTCTACTACAATACAGTTTTTTCCTTAATCACGTTTTTCTGACGTCTACTTGACATTTTATTTTTTTTAAATATAGTGATGTTCAAGCACACAACAGGTTCTTATCTAAACAGCACACTCCAAAACCTTGTCCAAGCAAGATTATCTTACAACGTGCTTTGAGCGACGCTTTCATTTCACGAAAGCTTTTTTTTCCACTGGAAATTTTCACAAAATTGTCTTTTTTTGTCTGATGCTTCCAGCGCTGGCCCACGCTTGGGCTAGTCGGTGATATAAACCACGGAGGAAAAACAAAGAGGAGCTGGCCTAAGCAACTGTGCACTGTGATTTTCAACTAGGTCCTGACGTCATCATTGTGGGCGGGGTCTAAGTCAGTATGCTTTCAGCGTTCGTCAGGTGCACACTTAACGAGACTCGCATTATAAGTGTTTTTTTGCGTTTTTAACAAGAAAAGGATGAAGTGTTGTGTTTTACTATGTCAAAGTTACTCAGACAGACGTTCTGATAATATGGATGGCATCACATTTCATGTGTAAGTATGTAATTTTATACGTAATAAAATATATAAGTTCTAGAACATTCTCAGCTATCAGCGTTAAAATTTTACTACTTGACACCAGATGGCGACACTTTTAAGAAGAAAATACATAAGTTTACGTATAATTTTGCAGTAGTATATTGTAATAATCGTACGTAAATACTGAAAACTGTTATACACTTATTCCTAAATAACTTTTAGTATCTAAAACAGTAATTTTATCGATTTTATTAATATATTACTATCTGGGGCCCAATTCTCGCGGCATAGATATTATATCACCTTCGATATATATCGAATGATCTGGCTTTTATCGAAGGAAAACCTTTTTGCCCTATTCTCACCATGTCGCAATAGATATTTATCTACGGATGATCAGTAGACATACATCGACTGGTAAAGAGCCTTCGATATATTTAATATCTATGGATCTTGGCATGTCAATCTTATTATTTCCACTTTTTTTACCTATTATTTATTGTGTTGTCGTGTGTCTTTGCCAATTATTGTTACCTCAAGACGTTGTTAACTGCTTTCATAAATAATTAGTAAATAAAGAAGTAGGTAAATAATGGTGTCGATTCTGGCGTGATTCTCTAAAGTTAAAACTAAATTTAATATCAGTCTCTCTTTTTCATTCTGTATAGAGAATGACAGGGAAACACTGTTGTCAAGTTTAAGTTTAGATTTAGAGAATCGTGCCAGAATCGACACCAGTTTATATTAACGATGGATGAGTTGATTCATGTTTTCGTCAATGATTTAATAAATGACGTGATTGCTGCTGCTGTGCTAAGGCGCCGCCGTTGTGAGAGCAAGAGGGCCCATTTGAAATGAGGGACGCCGACTTCATAAAAAAATTACGTTTAAACAAAAATTTGGTTAGAAATCTTTAAAGTTATGAATGACATTGGTATCGATTCTGACACAATTCTCTAAACTTAGAACTAAATTTAACATCAGTCTCTCCTTTTCATTCTGTATGGAGAATGACAAGAATACACTGTTGTCAAATTTACGTTTAGGTTTAGAGAATCATGCCAGAATCGACACCATTTTCTTATTGACGATACGGAGTTTTGGCGGGATTTCTGCGAGTGCGGTTGGCATCTTATTTTAATTATTCTAAAATTCGTTCATAGTGGATATTGTGAAATAAAATTGGTGTGATTTGGTGTTACAACCGTCTGCGCAACTGAAGAATTAGTGGAATCTTTAAAATACACGCTATTCCGGTCAAGTGGACTCGAGAACTTTATTGTAGTGTTGAATACCTCACAGAAGCTTAGAGAAAAAGCCAACTCCATAAATTTCGTGCCAAACACTCCAAGAAACATTAGAATGCGTCACACCGACATTCGAATGTAAAAAAAAGAAGATTAATATAACTAAAGACTAGGCTTTATGGGCATTGTTCCATTTGCCTTCCCTGAAAAGGGAGAATCTTAAATAATATTGACGTTTCATTATACATAACGTCGAAATTATAAACGCATACAATTTAGGTGAAGTTGAGATTTCTTATACTCAAAAAATGTATACTCATATTTAATATGAATGGAATTCATAAAATATCATTTTGTTGCTTGTAAAATTCTGCTCTAATTTATTATTATTTTATATAGACTATGATGTTAACTTAATCGAGAAAAACGGAACGCATTTGGCAGTGAAAGAATATCTACGATAGATATAATATCATTGGAATATCGAAAATCCACGAGAATAGCATTTTTGGGCCCCTGGGGCCCAATTCTCGCGGCGTAGATATTATATCGGCTTCGAGATAATATCGAAAGTAGGGATATCTATTGAAAATATCTACTGATGGTAAAAAATGCTATTCTCGTGGATTTTCGATATTCCAATGATATTATATCTATCGTAGATATTCTTTCACTGCCAAATGCGTTCCGTTTTTTTCGATTAAGTTAACATCATAGTCTATATAAAATAATAATAAATTAGAGCAGAATTTTACAAGCAACAAAATGATATTTTATATCTTATGAATTCCATTCATATTAAATATGAGTATACATTTTGAGTATAAGAAATCTCAACTTTACCTAAATTGTATGCGTATATAATTTCAACGTTATGTATAATGAAACGTCAATATTATTTAAGATTCTCCCTTTTCAAGGAAGGCAAAGGAAACAATGCCCATACAACCTAGTCTTTAGTTATATTAATCTTCTTTTTTTTACATTAGAATGTCGGTGTAACACATTCTTATGTTTCTTGGAGTGTTTGGCACGAAATTTATGGAGTTGGCTTTTTCGATAAGCTTCTGTGAGGTAGTCGACACTACAATAAAGTTCTCACGTCCACTTGACCGGAATAGCGTATATTTTAAAGATTCCACTAATTCTTCAGTTGCGCAGACGGTTGTAACATGAACGAATTTTAGAATAATTAAAATAAG